CCCCCCCCCCCCCCCCCCCCCGCCCCAATTAAAAGAAAAGGGCCTGAAACTGAGTTCAAAGTCCCAGGAAGCAGTTATTTGGGAACTGCTAAAGAAAGGTAGCTGACTCCACCCCAGACCAGTGGTTGCAGAGACAACAGACCCTGCAATCACACAGCTTATCTAAGACAAACAGCTAATTTCTCCCATTCTGACCCTAACAAGCCCTTCAAGCTGATTCCCTAGCCTTAGCTACAAAAACATCAGTCTTAAGCCTGGATTCTGTATCTCTTAGACTCTGGTCATTGAGTGACTGGGTCCTGTGCCTTGATCATGGGGTGGCCAGAATTAAGAGATATCACCTCTCTGGGATTAAAACTTTTGGGCTCATCTAAATTCTCATCTTTTATTTCTTCCTGAAAACTTAATTCTTACTTACCTTTACAAAGAGAAGTTTCATGAACCACAAGACTTTTCTTTGAATAATGTCTACTTTGCAGTGTTAAATATAAAGGCTTTTTCAAATTTTCAACTTTCATATCAATAAATTCCAAGAATCCAGAAACAAAGCATTCAAAAATTGAAAATAAATCATCATCTTAACTCTTAGTTTAGGGGACCAGAAGAAAACCAAACATCAGCTTTCAGAAAGCCTTCATTTCCTTGGTACTCTATGTAGCAGGCATAAAGCTGTTCTTTCCTAAGCATCAGTGAAGTTCAGTTCATCATCCTTTCCTGTCCCTGCACTCCACGAGTCTATTGTGTCATGTGAATAGCTGTTGCACCATCTACACATTGACCTCATTCTCCTCAGGAGCCAGATGGAGAGAATGATATACTGTGACCCAAGGCCATGAAGATCACCGTAAGGACTCTCACCTGTGGCATTGAAGAGACACAGGGGCCACTCACCTTTTTGCACACACTGGGCGTTTTTCACCTCAGGGCTCCATTTAAGGCTGGAGCCACAAAGGAATGTTGAAGGACCTTCTAAGGACATGCCAGCTGCACAGGAGAGGGTCACCTTCTCACCGACCTTGTAGAGGAGTTTCTGGGGGTGACTCTGCATGCCATTCATCAGTACAGGTAGAGCACAGGCAATTTCTGAGGATGAAGGAGGACAAAATGTAAGGGTCACTGCTTTCCTAAACGTGCTGTTTAAAGGCAGCCTGGGGCTGTGCTAATATACATGCTCTGCCTTTTCATATCAGAGGACAAGCAGGGAAAACAGTGCATCCACTCATAGGGGGCTCCAAAAGGAACGCTCCATGGTGTCTGACACGTAATTGACCAGTGAATGACTGAAGACAAAACAGCTGTCATCTCCTTTCCCTGCCCTCAAAGCAATGTGACAAGCTAAAGTGAACAAGCCTACAAATAGAGTCCCAAAGCCCAGGCTGCTGCTAAAAGCAGACTTCACAGCTGCCACTTATCTCTGCAGTCAGGTGATGTCCCACCAGAATTTCCCCAGGAGCTTTACTCATTTGCATATCATTAGCTCTAATTAGATATGTCACTATCTACAAATTTAAAGCTCCTCCTTTCCCCTTGCAGCCATAAAAGTGTGCAGTGTTCTGTATTTTTTTCCACCTCAAATTTTCCCTTAATATTATTCATTAGTCCAAACCTATTTAAAAATAAAACCACAGAAAAAACAAATATATATATATATATATATATATATATATATATATAATATTATATATAATATATAGATGTGAAGAGCAGGTCAGAAATCATGACTGAAAATCTTCACCAAGTCCCTCATGGATTTTGGATAATACTATACAACATCACTGAGTTTCAGCCCTGTCTTTATCAGAAGACCCAATCATTCATTTATTCAAACACAGCATTTACCATTTATTGGTATTATTGCCCGTATTTTGCCAAATATGTTGTGTACTGGTAGAACAAAGTTAAGTACTGGTCATATGTTGTGCCTTCCAAATCTGGCACTGAGTTTGTTAGTGGCATGATACATCTGCCAGGTCTATTAGGAGAACGTCTTTCAACCTGTCTCCCACCAAGACAGATAGGAAAGTTGCACAAGATTAGAAGAAAAATGTTTATGAGAATCAGATAGTTGTCAGAAGAGATTTGAAGACTCCAGATTCCAGACAGAAGAAAAATCTAAGGTAGTGGTTAGAGATTTGGTAATGCTTTTCTCCATGTAGTACTTGTAAATTTGAAAAGCTAAAACAAAATTATAATAAGAGCATAGTGAAGAATAGACAAACTGAGGAGAGAATTCCAGCTCCAAGGTTAAACTGTTTATGGAGCCTGCAGGAGAGTCACAGGGTAGAGGATCCAGGGCTCCAGTATTGTGAAAAAAAAAGGGAAGATACCCAGGTAGAAAGTCCATACTTTTTATCAAGATCACTTAGTAGCTAGACCCCATTGGAATAAACATTAACCAGTCATGAAGCAGCTTCATTTTTGACCAGTTAGAAAATTCATCTTCTCCAAGGATGTCATCAATGCCTTAATTTGTTAAGTTTTTCATGTGGAGAGTGGCATTTGGTCAGAACTAAACTAGTGTTCAAAAACATAAGAATGACCAAAGTTTGACCACTAAAAATACAACAGACACAGGACATGCAAATAATGGAATTAACAGTTATGTGCCTTGAAAAGACTGCAATTACTTTGTTGAGAAATCTAAATGATGTCAGGTATAGTGTTTCATGCCTGTAAACACAACACTTGTGAGGCTGAGGCAAGAGAGTTGCCAATAGTTGTAGTAAGGTGAATTCCATTCCAGCTTGAGCTATTGAGTGAAATTTTTACTCAAAAAAAAAAACCTAAATAACAAGATGGAACCTTTCTACAATACATTGGAAAAATATCAGGGTAATGGTGGCACATGCCTTAATCCCAGCGCTCAGGAGACAGAGACAGGAGGATCCCTGAGTTAGAAGTCAACTTGGTTCACAGAGTGAGTTTCAGGACAGCCAGAGCTATACAGAGAAACCCTGTCTTGAAAAACAAAACAAAAAAATGGAAAATAGGAATAACAGAAAAATATATTAACAGGTCAATAGAATTCTTACAAGACTATGCCACAGTTACACAGAAAATGCATGAGTGAAAGAAATCAATAGAAATATTTAACATGAAAAGCAAAGCAAAGAATGTAAAGCATTATATATATAGTGACAGTGACCTGAGCACCAGTGTCCATCCTCTCTGCTTTCTGGCTATGGATGCTATGGGAGCAACCACCCAAACTTCTTCTGAACCTGTGAGCCTTCCCTGTCAACTGTGAGCCAACATATCTTTGTTCCCTTAAGTTGTTTTGATCTGGTATTTTTGTCATAGTGGTGAGAAAACTAACTGATGCAAGAAAAGGAGCTTTTCAGGAAAAGGAGATGAGTTGCTGATGATGTAAAGCTGATGGTGAATTGTTCTATACTACTGGGGTTTGCATGAGTTGTTATTTATCTTGATTCACTTTCTTCTCTATCATTCTGTCATCTTAGGATATATACTACAACCAAGACCACTCACTCTGACAATGCATTTCTCCAACAAGCCACTGTAACTCTTCTCCACATCTGGCAACAGGATCTCCAATAAGGAAATACCCTTCATTGCAAGCATATACGATGTTTTTCCCAACAGGAAACATGGTACCTTCATCCTAAACAAGTTAAGAGATGGAGAAAGGTTGAGTTTGCCTGTTTCTCATTAGGTTTATTTGACCTGAAAATCATAATTAACTTTAATCATTGATCTACATCCAAACAATTGATTTAGAAAATCAATATAAAGCATTTTCCCCTATAAGGATCTATTCAACACTAGTACCACCATTGATTGAAATAAAGCCATAAATGCCAACATATCATAAACGTATAGATTGCTCCCCAAATACCAAGTGCTGCACTAAGCATTTTACTAAAATCACTTTAATGGACACCATTAGAGTAATTTCTTTCCCTTATACTTGCAGTAAAAGGTGGTTTGTCATCAGATTTTTGGAAGTTTTTGTTTTTTTTTCCTCCGTCAGTTCTTCATCTGAAGAATGTGCATTCTGTTGGTTGACAACACTACCTAATAAATGTCAGCATAACAGAAATATTTACATCTTCTCAATATCTTCATGGAAGACTTTCTCATTGATGACATTTTATCAGCTCATTGTTTGCTTTCTGAGATAGGTTCTCATTGTGCCTCTCCAGTTAACCTGGATTCACTAAAGAGCCCTTAGCTGGCCTCAAACTCAGACCCTCACCCCTCTGACTCCAAGGTGCTGGGATTACAGGCATGTGCCACCACACCTAGCTCAATGATAACTTCTAAAAACACATGATGTTGATCTCCTCCAACTCTGCACTATAGTTATAGAAATGCTGCTATGAATGGACTCATATTTTATTTGCCTATAATATTGGGAGGTAAGTTGTCATAATAAAGCAAGGAATTTCAAATCCCAGCCTGGGAGGAGATAATTACCCTCATTTGGGATTCTTGCTTCTTTTCCTTACCCTCTAGTTCTCTGCCCCTGGGGAAATGTTGAAGAAATACAGGCCTGGGGGATAGTTTGGAGTTTGCATCTTAGCCAGCTCTCCTCTGGGAAATAAACCCAATTTCCTGGTGCCTCTTTATCATTGCCAGACACAGACTACTCAAGGCTTAGTCTACCTCCTTCACAGAAGTTAATATGAAACAATGGGGAAGAGACATGTCAGTTTTTGATTGTAGCCCCTAGGCCTTCTTCTACTTTGCCAGAAGGACTTCCTGATGAGGAAGATTGACCCAACACATCCAAACATTTCTACACAAAAACAACTTATAGAAAGTATAAAAAGCTCCACTCCCAACCTACTGAATCAGAAAGGGTTGTAGGAAGTAAATCAAGCATCAGTCTCTATTTTGAAATTCCCTAAGTGACCTATATGGACATTCTGAAACAGTGTTTAGAAATATTGGCTCCTAAAAAAAAGCAGAAGAGCTTCATGAATTGCTAAGTTGAGTTTGCCTTGCATTGCTTTCTAAAGATGTTGCATTCAAAAGCCCCATAAACCATGGTGAGTGTGTAAAACAGTCTACCACTTTCTACCTTCTCCCCTTTGCCTCCTCATTTTCCTAACAGCATATATACATTTGTGAAAACTTAAGCAAACTCTCATTATTGTAAGCTTAATGGCCCAGAATTTAAGGGTCAAAATGCCCCATGAAGAAGGTAAAGCTGGCAGCAGGGAGGGCATCCTTGTAAAAACATATCTCCTGTGTGAACCATGAAGAGATGTCATTGAACTTGGGGTTAAGAGCACAATTGTAAGAAAAACTGGGACCAGAACTAATTAAGACCCCTGAAATGCCAAGCCACATCACAAGAACAACCAATGGAAGATGACCATGGTCCTTTTATGAATACAAAAATTGGTAAAAGTATGACAACCTACATCTCATCAGACAGTGGTTAAAATATCTCTTGAGGTAAATAAAATACTTCATGATGAAATCTTTTAAAGATAAGTCTTTTTCAATGAAAATAGTAAAGAAAATTCTTTAGTTTTAAGAATTTCCATGTACATTCACACTTAGTAACACTGGCAATGTTGACTAGCCCTTTGACATGATGGTATCTCTATTCATCAGGTGGCAGTATTAACATCCCAGACCACAGAAGGAGTGCTATCTTCTATGAAATTTGAATCACCTTGGGCCAAAGAAGAAATGTCACAAATTCGATTCTCCACTACTAAAGTTAAAACGCACACATAAAATTTTTACCACAATTTCACCATGGAGAAAGGAGATGGGTTATGGCCAAATAAAGACATAGAAGTTGGACTATTTATAAAGGAAAAAGGTATCTTTTCATAACCAACTTGAACAAATCCATCTTTTAAGGCAGGGGGTGGTGGGCAGAATCCTTTTGGAACCAAAGACAAATGAAAGCAATGTGGCTCAAGTAATCTGGAAAAAAAAACAAATGGAAATAAATTTGATTGGTTTCCACAATTAAGTTGATATATTACATTAAAATTTTCACTTATATCTGAAGGCATGCAAGTAGAAAGTACAACAATATAGATATATATTGTTATCATTCTCAGAACCAAATATGCAACCACATTATATTTTTAAATACCTTGAACATAAACTCAATCTAGCAAAAGATAGTGATTTAAATATCTACAGGATCAGTAGTATGAGAAGCAAGAAGGAAGAAAGATGAAAGTCTTTGGGTAATGTATCTGTATTATATAATTTCTAGAGTCCATCTGTCTCAGATATCACTGTATCTCCTGCTGTTGAGTTCTGAAATCCTTTGGTCACAAAAATAATTGTACTTGATGAAAAAAAAAATCAAGTCTAAAAAGGAGCAGAAATCCTTCATATCTCATCATCAATGATATTCCTGAAAATTTACCATCACAAGATCATGCCTACAGAAGCTTATAATTATGATAATGATAATGGAGACATCCATGATTCAACAGTGATTGTCCATAGTGCCTTTGTGACCATTATACTACCAGTCCTCTCCAGTGAGTAAAATCTGAGTGATAGGAACACAAGTAGACTATGACACTTCCTTCTGGGCCAAATTCCTCATCTTTTGCAACACCCCAGGGAAATCAGAAATGTGAAGTAATAATAAAAATTTTCCTATTTCTACTCATCAGAAAGACACATTCCCTCATTAGAGCAACAACAACAAAAAGTGAAGAACAGGAAAAGGAGGATATCACTTCCGTGTTTCCTTTGGAATGTTCCCTTTTTCTGGCTTTATATATAAAGGCTTGTTATTCCTCCATTAAATAGACTTAATTTTATATAAACAGGATTTCGGAATGCAGGGAAATGAATCCCATCAGGCAAAGACCTCTTTCACATACTCATCCTCTTGGGGGTACATGTGCCTTCTTTTCTTACTATAACCCACATGTCCTTTGGCTTCCTTGATGATACTGGTTATTATTATTGTACAAGGCATGAAAGAGCTAGGATCAAGGCACCCTGTGTCCTCACCTATCACATCCCCAAGCACCTTGTTTCGAATGACCTTCAAATTGTCTCTCTGGGGTTTCCTGTCTAGTTTTTGAGCTTTGCAATATTTCACAAAATGGACCAACAAAAGCATTTTGGAGTCTTTTAGATAGGTCCCCTGGAAAAGTACCCGCAAATACCACACACAATGCCCCCATTCAGCCGTCTAAAGAAAGATCAGTCATTACCCCAATTCCAAAATGGCAACTATGGTTACCTGTTCAGATGGGGAAGTGATGAGGAGGTAAAAAAATGGCTCAAAAGACCCAAAAGAAAAGTAGCTGTTTCTTTTGTAACTAAGAGCCAAAATTGACCTTGTACCTCTTTGCCAGTCTCATCTTTACAACGTACCATGGATTCCAGAAGCACTAGGGGCTGTGATCCATGGTCTGGCTCCTAAATGATTTTGGAGTTACCCCTTTACAACAATAAAGTCCCACTAGGAAGAAACCCTCTAGGACTGGAGAGATTGTTTGGTGGTTGAGGGTAACTTGCAGAGGACCAGAGTTCTGTTCCCAGCACCCAAGTCAGAGGACTTGTGCTGACCTATAGTTCTAGATCCAGGAGAACCCTTCTTGTGTATGATTGCTCACATGTACACACACATAATTAAAAAGAAGAAAATAATTTTAAAAGAGAGGGAAAAAAAAAAAACCTCCTTCTGGTCAAAAGAATAGACTCTGTGGAAACCGAAAATTTTAGTTTGGCCAGATGAATCACTTGGCCCCAAAGAGGGCTGACTCACCTTAAGCTATACTATCTTTAGGCAGAATAATATTTTCTTTAGGCAGAATAATTATTCCTTTAATGAGACACTGTACTTTGCCTTCACTGACCACCCCAGTACAGTCTCTTACAGAGCACAGCCATACTGCTTCACGTGTGTATCCACGTTACTCAGGAAGATGTAGCTTCCCTTTTCTTTCTGTCTCTACTCTAACTAAGCCTGCTTCCCCTAACACTCTGCATTTCCCTGCATTTGTCCCTTTCTTATTTGTCCCCTAAAGCTCCTCTCTCCACCATGTGACTGTTGATGTGTCACATGTCCGACCTCTTTTAAACACAATGGCTTTTCTTTCTTTTATTTTTTTCTCCTTCCCTCTTTATTCTTCCACTTTACTCCTCTGGGAAGTTGATGAGATTTATGGCCCACTCACCCTAGGAGTGTTTCTTTTAAACTCTGATAAAATTGCCTTCATGCTTAGAGAAATAAAATAATTCTGCAACAGAAAAACAAAACCTGGGCATGGTGACACCAGCTGTAATTCCAGAATTTGGGACACAGAAGCAGGATGACTAGGAGTCCAAAGACATCCTCAGTCACATAGTGAGTTTGAGGACAGCTCTGTCTCAATTAAGGGAATAAACAAATAATTGTTTTTAAAAATAATTCTGGGTGCAATTGAGTCAAGAAAGCTGAGAGAGCTTTTGCACGATCCCTGCCAAAGTACAGTTAGTGTCAGATTACCACCAGACCAGCCATGCAAAATATCATCCATCTAAAGTGTCTGGCTTTATGCTTAACACAGAGAACAAGAAAGTAGGAGGCAGTGGCATATCTGAAAGTCAACATATTTATTGAAGCTTTCCATGTGCCTGTGCCAATTGCTTTTACAAGCTTGAGCTCATTTAGCGCTTATATTTTATTACTGGCTTTCCTACAACTATTATTCTGATTTTAAAGTCTATCAAGTAACTTGCTCAAGGCTACACAGCAAGTAGGGAGTAAATCCACAGGCCTACTCCCAATTACTAGCCCTATATATCCCTGGAGTCTGGAAAACCTGAAGCTCACAGCCAGTGTTATTGGCCATGACGGGGCTCCCTTCTTTGTTGACTCCTGTGCGAAGGGGCAAAGCAAAAAGTGCTAAAAAAAATCACTTCTTTACTTCTAATCGTCTAAGAGCAGCTGTCTACAACCTCATGCTCACTGCACAGTATACTTTCTCTACGTAACTGCCAAAAGGTCTGGTCTCCATTAATTACCTCAAGTTCTCCAAGTCCTGGTCTTCACACTGCCGGCTTTCAGTTGTTTCTCCAATACAGGCCTTTCCACCTGCACTTGGCTGGGGATTATTGCATTCTCGGCTCCTTGATTTCTTTCCTTGAACACAGGGGCCCCAAGAAGACCAACAACTCCAACCTCCATCAACCCCTCCTGTAATATAAGAAAGAGGCTCTTGACTTCTGGAGAGCAACAATTCAGAGCTTAGTTCTGGGTTTGCTGCTAATGTGTTTTATTGGGGGATAAGGATAATGGCCTTGTGAGAGATTTACAAAGGGCGTATTATAAGATCAGCAGTGGCTGGGTGGGAATCCAGCGATGGTATTTTATTAGTTCCAAGGACTTGGACAAGTCATTCAAATTTCTTGTTCCTTTGTTATTTATTCTCCAAGTACTTCCTAGTGTTCTTTAGCAGGTTTTCCAGCAGGCAGAAAGGCTCTCCTCACTGACTTGAAGTATTCATATCCAGCCTGCTGAACAGAAATTCTTGCAAGATCTTAAGTTCACTGATTATTCTGTGAGTGTCAAAGTACTTTCATGTACATTGTATCATTTATTTGCTTTTCCAGACAATGACCAAAGGGAAGGGAGGAAAACATTACCATTCGCACTTCGCATTCCAATCCCTACTAGCAAAGAAAGCTTCCATTTTAAAAGATAATTGAAAATCCACCTGTCTGTTGAAAAATACTGACTAATGGTTCACAATACAAAACTGTAGTAGGGGTATTCCAAAGAGCTTGCTGTCAGAAGGCTAGGCAGGAGATATGCTCCCAAAGAGCTGTTTTAAAGCAAAGCCTTGTGAGATAATTGCAAGAAGTTGGAAGGCATTTTAAACATGATTCCATTCGATAGAGAATTAGAGAATAAGGAATCAAAACAAGAATGGTGTTTTTACTTCAGACAAGTAAGAAGAGAGAAAAGGATCTCAACCTTAAAAGCTTTAATGTGGAGATGGAAAACCGAGGCTGTCTAATTGCAAGCATAACTTCACGTCTGCAAACACAAAGCAGTGCATGTCAAAGGCCTAGGAGAATTACCTTTTCAATGTATCCCTCACTGAGCGAAAACCCATTACACTGACCTGCTTGATTGCCGACAAGGACTCCTTGCTCACAAGCCATACCAAATGTGTATGGTTTGCAGTGACACTGACACTCTGTCCCCACAACAATAGCGAGGCCACCGTTCTGGCAAGGCTGGCAATGGCAAGGGTCGAATTCATCCAGGTATTCCTCGAGAGCTCGCTTCAGGTACAGTCTTTTCACAGAGGCACAGGGCACTTCCTTGACCAGCTCATACAATGGCATCAGCTACAAAGGAAAGACATCATTCAGTGCTCGGAGCTTTCGGAAGGACCGTGCTTCTTATTATATGTATACACAACCCCACTGAAACAAAACGAAAAGCCACTCTTGCTTTTATTATAGTTGCCCTGACAGTACATATGTCTCAAGATCCCAAATATAGTCCCCAAAGCAAAAATAAAACCAAATCCTATGTAGGCTGCTTTTTCCTGTTCATATGCACCTATGGTAAAGCAGTAAAGTGCTCTCTCTGTCTCTTTCTGTGTGTGTGTGTGTGTGTGTGTGTGTGTGTGTGTGCGCACGCGTGTGTGCGTGTGTCCATGTGTCTGTGTGTCTATGAATGAATGTTACATGTATTCAGGTGCCCACAGAAGCAGGAAGAGAATGTCAGATCCCTTGGAGCTGACATTAATTACAGGCAGTTGTGAGCCTTCCAAGCCTTCCAACATGAGTGGCAGGAACCAAAGTGGGGTCCCCCAGAAGAGCGAATGAGTCATCTCTCCACCTCCTTGTGACGAAGTTTGGTTTACAGACAAGGCAGAACATGGAAATAACAGTAATAATTAATAATAAAATGAAACTGGTGAATTGCCTATTTCTGGATTTTCTATTAAATGTCTTCAGACTGTGGAACTAAGGAAAATGAAACTGCTGATAAGTATGCACTACTGCACAATTGTTTCTTGTTTAAAGAAAAAAAGAGGGGGGACTCACTCTTCTTGCAATAAAATCTCCACAGACCTAGGAAACTTTAGAACAGATAAGGGAAGAATCTTGTTTACATCTTGAGCATGCATTAAATTAAAAAACAAAAAGCTGAAGAGCATTCATTGTCTAGTTAATGGAAGATTGTTTTAAAGACAATGTGTTATCACCTCCACAGAGCACAGAAGAAAAGGAACTGTGCTTAAATTACAGCAAGGAAGCAAGTGCAATTACACTTAGACTTAAATTTCCTGTCTCAGAGATTTACTGTCTCTTTCCCGGAGACCAAGAGCCCTCTCCTGAAGAAAAGTAAAGCAGGGAGACATTATTACTTTGTGTTTGTTTGTTTGTTTGTTTGTTTGTTTTTCAGAAGAAAAGCGACTTTGAAGTGGTGGGTGAATTTAGCAGCAAGGCTCATGTGGAAACATGCTTCCCAGGAGCAAGAAGGCACTCCTTTGTAACAGGTGCTAAAATTTCCTACACACTATTGTAATGGCTACATTCCAGTTACTACAGTGATATCACCAAGAACTGGACTGGAAGAAGGGACAGCCAAGCTCTTCTGAGCAATGGCCTTCAGTGGCCATAAAGCTGGATGGTGTCTGCTCTTTCATTATTCCTTTCCTGCCCAACCAGGAAGTTGCCCCATCTGCAACAGTTTATAGTCCTTGTGGAAAAGGACATAGTTGAGGGTGTGAAAGGATGTCTGTTCTCCTTTCATCAACACTTTCATTGCTAAAGAATATATGGGTCAGTGAAAATGGCCCATTATGAATACTAAAAGTTGGCATGCTCTGACACCTTTTCTGGAGATGCTGTCTTCCTCATAAGAGGTAAACAGGTGCAGTGTCTTAGAGGTGCTTAAAGGGCTAGTGTAGGTCTTTTATTATTATTATTATTATTATTATTATTATTATTATTATTATATAAAGTATATGTATCTTAATTGTTTAAATTAGACATCATCTGGAATATGGACTGCCATAAAGAAAATAGATCATACAATCAATTCTACCAAAATGTTCCTTTAGAAAATGTGAGTTTGGTCTATTAAGGTTGTTACATCAGGAAACAACAAGAACATTTCACAGATTTTGTGTGTTCTTATGTGCAGTGTATCCAGAAGATTCACAAAGTGAGCAAGCACAGAACCTCGATGCTCAGTAATACATGTGATGTACACACACATCCATGTGTGTTCAGACATCCATGTTTGTTCACCTACTGTATTATAAGAATGTACACCCTTCCATTGAGTGAACTGTCTGCCAGATTTCTAACTGTTATACTTCATGTGATCTAAAACATTGTAACACTTCTAGCACCCATGAAGCTTCAGGGTTTTCTAGACAATGTGCCTCATTTGTGGCAGCATCAATGCATGGATTAGTAATTTAACATGTATAAAACCTTGCATCCATTGTTATCAATGTCACCTTTTTCTAATCAGCATGATAGCTAATTTTGAGTGTTGTGGCCCTAACCCCATTTTCCAGTATGATCTTTGGTCTTCACTGTACATGTTTGCATAACTCAGTAGGGTTGGGGTTTGGGGGGGGTAGGATTCTTTGCTTTTGTTTTTTGTTGTTGTTTGGAATAAATATATTTTGTCATAAAATAAGACTGACTTTTATGGTAAAACACTCTTAGCTCTGCCTGGTATTTGGTGTTACTGTTATCTATGTGACTTCAGAGCCCATGAACTATGAACAGGAAGAGAAGTAATCTGACTGACAGATGTAACAGCAAGTGAGTCTATCTGCCTCCCTCTGGGAAAATTTGTAACCCCTCTGAATTTGAAACCAAAGAAAATATGACCAAGGGGCTGGTAAGATGACTTGGTGGATAAACTGCCCAACAAGCCTGACAACCTGAGTTCAGTCCTAAGAACACATGCAAAGGTGGAAGGAGAGAACTGATTCCACAAAAAAACCACTGTGGTGGTTTAAAAGAAAATGTCCTCCAAAGACAATGACACTATTAGAAGGTATAGCTTTGTTGGACTAGGTATGGCCTTGTTGGAGGAAGTGTGACACTGTGGAGGCAGGGCTTTGTGGTCTCATATATGCTCAAGAAACCACCCAGTGTCTCAGTTCACTTCCTGTTGCCTACAAGATGTAAGACTCTCAGCTACTTCTCTATGTCCCACCATCATGATAATGGACTAAGCCTCTGAAATATAAGCCACCCCATTAAATGTTTTCCTTTTATAAGAGTTACTGTGGTAATGGTGTCTCTTCACAGCAACAGAAACCCTAACTAAGACACGCACATCATGCACATACACTAATAATAAAGCAAAGGAAGTAATTTTTCTAAAGAAAACAACCATAATTAAGACAAAAGTTAAAATACGAATTCCCTCATTAATTTGCCTTGGGGTTTACAGGACATTTGAGCTTTACTGCTGATCTATGAACAAACCACGTCCTCTGTTTCTTATTATCATGTATGCATTCATGTTACTATATAAAGCATAATTAGGATGCAGGAAATGCTAATTGCAGCCAATTCTGTTTAATCACCTTGATGTAATCTCATTTTCCCAACACAAATAAACACGACTGCTTCCCACCACTTCAAACAGAGCATCACATACCTTTTGTTTTATGACTTGGGGAAGATGGGTTACAGATTCAGCCCAGGAAGAATACCGCTGTTTGTTTCCAGCAGGATTATCCAGCTCCAGGAAGCTAAGGTCAGATACAAAGCCAGGACCTCCACCTCTGACAAACGGTTCTCCTTGAAGCTTCCTGCTCTGGCTTCCTATGCAGGAGGAAACAAGTGAAATATGTCAGTATAAGTCAGCATGCACAGATAAAACAAAATTAACCAGGTAAAAGTGCAAAGTGTGTCAAGTGTGTTTTTGAAAGAAAGAAAGTAAGTAAGAAAGAAAGAAAGAAAGAAAGAAAGAAAGAAAGAAAGAAAGAAAGAAAGACCCCATCCAACTGTGTGGCATCTTGAGAAAAACAAAACCTAATAGAATGGTGGACAGACAGAACATACAGATTGTTTGAGAAGTTAATCCATTCTATACAGCACTACAGTGATTATTATCCATCAAGACATACTTGAGAAAACCCATAAAATATACACACCCAGAGTAAACTGTAACGTCAATGAGTACTATGGGAGAAGATGATACGTCTATGTAGATTCAACAATTGCTTCACTGTAGCACTGCAGCTAGTGTGAGAGGTTTGTGGGCAAGAAGTATACGGAAAATCTTTATGTTTTCCTCTTGATTGTACTGTGACTCTCAATGGACATAAAAACTAAGATTGAAAAGTATACAGCTAGGGATACAGTTTAGCTAGTAGAGCATTTGCTAACCCTTGGGAAACCCTGAGCTCACACCTGCACTACATAAAACTAGTTGTGGGAGCAAGCAAGCCTATAATCTTAACATTCATGCAGGAGGTAGAGAGGATCAGAAGTTCAAGGTCATCCTCTACTACATAAAAAGTTGAACATTTGCCTGGGATACATGAGACCCTATCTAAGTGATGATGACGATGAAGAAGAAGGTAGAGGAAGAGGAGGAGGAGGAGCAGGTATTATCTATAGACTGACAGAGAATATTATAAAATTACTGCTAGATTTGAATGCCTTAGTTCAATAAGAATATCTGCATGCTTTGCAGAAGAGTATCATTAGAAGCATACATATATTATAGGATGAAGTATCATGAAGGTGAAACTTACTTTCAAATAGTTCCATAACTCACATAAGCATTTTAAATACATGATCATTGATGCTGCTAAATAACCTGTCAATATTATAAATATTTATGTATATTTGTGGCAAAATGTAAAATTAATAATTGCTATGTATAGGTAATAGGTATGTAAACAACTACTATGTTCCTTACATTTTCTTTATTTGAAATTCTCGGTGATAAAATATTGAAGAAAAAAAACCAGCCGTAGGTCTAGCATATTAACAATTTTTAAAAGCTGTTAATTAACAGGAATACATTACCTAAAACATGAGAAGTGTTCTGAAAAGTTTGAATGCTAATTGAATTCCTATTTTCTACTTATGTACCTCATAATTTCAGGCATATTTTTATCTCCACTTATAATTGGTTCTTACAAAGGTCACAACTAGACATTTCAAATCTTACAGATCACATTTTGAGTGATTTCCACTTCCATTCTTGTAACTGCCCAAATTTTGCAAGTTTGTCAAATGAACACACTGTACTTTTATAATGAGAAATTATGAAAGCCTGGTATTTTTAATAAATTATCTGAGTGCCTCCTCATTTTCATTGTTAATTCTAGTTTGATATGCAAATAGCAGTCTTTTTGATGCAATACCTCACAAGTCCAAGCCCTGAGATAATGAATCATCACCAGCTGGGGTGCCTGCAGATTTCTGAGCTCAAGCAAGACCTATAAGAGAATATTTTCATGGGTTGGGAAGATGACTTAGTGGTTAAGAGCACTGACTGCTCTTCCAGGGGACACGGATTCAATTCCCAGCACCCACATGGCAGGTCACATTGTCTGTAACTCCAAGATCTGCCACCCTCACACAGATACACATGCAGAAAAAGCACCAATTAAATTAAAGTAAATAATTATTATTTTTAAAATGAGAGAAAGAGAATGTCTGAGGGAAAATGCCTCAGAATCTACATTTCCTCTCCTTCCCAAAGTGATACTTTTGAGCATGAAAGATTGGGATTCACTGCCTTACTGACACACCAGGATAAGATGAGCAGGTTCTACAAAACCTGCAATTTTTAAGCTTGTGTGCTCTGCCTCCAGACCCCATGAACCCTCTACTCTGACTAACTCATCCCACCCCCAACCTGAGAAAGCATGGCAAGTGCAGCAACAAAGAACCCAATTCCATGCATTTACATTTCTAGCAAGCTTTCTTGTTGAACTATGTTTGGACTGCCAACCTGAAAATAATGACCCAGAGACTTATTATTAATTATGAAAGCTTGGCCTTTGCTTAGGCTTTTTCCTAACCAGTTCTTATAACTTAAATTTACCCATATTTTTTAATATACATTATGGCATGTGGTTTGTTACCTCGCCCCCTACTGCTCATCCTGCTTCCTCCCCATATGACCTTTCTTCTTCCCAGAGTGCTCTCTGTCCCTGGAAATCCCACCTAACCTCTTCTTGCCCAGCTATTGGCCAACAGCTCTTTATTAAAACAATAAGAACGTACCTTAGGCAGAGACACATCTTTACAGTGTAACCAAATATTCCACAAGATACATCTCATGTTCTTGCTAGGTGTGATCTTGGGTGATCTTGTATTTCAGTGTTTATAGAGAGAATGGGAATGTAAATTCTAAATATCTCATAGATAGGAGGAGTACTATTGGTTAGCTTTTGTAAATCACTTAAAATTGTTCTTGAAGAAAATAAGTTCTATGTGTTTATCAAATGCAAACCTGTAAGACCTAGCAATGGATGAGTCAGTGAGCAGCTTTCTGCTGCTAGCACAGTGGACATCTGATGTCAACATCTTCCCAGAGCTTCCCTCTCCACCTCTGCATCCAGGGGGCTATTTTTCCAAGTCATTCAGAGGGAGCTGAGGGGGATAGTGGGACAGAATGAAGGGAGGTAACATGGGAAGAATTGGAAGGAGGAAAGGAAAAGAAAAATGATGTAATTATACTTTAATTATATTTTTAATTTAAAAAACTGCTCTTTGGCCTATCCCTGTAATCAGATTGGTGAATACCCCAACTATCATCATAGAACCTTCATCCAGCAATTAATAGAACCAGACTCAGAGATCCACAACCAAGGACCAGGCCAAGCTCCGAGAATCCAGTCAAAGACAGAGAAGAGGGAATATATGAGCAAGGCAGGTCAAGACCATGATGGAAATATCTACACAGACTGTTGAACCAAGCTTGTAATACCTTATGAGCTCTAGACCTACAACTGTGGAGACTCCAAGTGACTGAACTAGGCTCTCCATATGTGGGGGACAGTTGTGAAGCTTGGACTAGCTGAGGGGCCCCTGGCAGTAGGACCATGCTACAAACCTGGTATATGAGCTAGTTTGTTGGAGCCCATTCCCTATGGTGGGATGCTATGCTCAGCCTTAATGCATGGAAGAGGGGCCTGGTCCTGTCCCAACCAATTGTGTCAGACCATGCTGACTTGTCATAGGAGACCTTACCAGTGAGGAGGAGTAGACTAGGAGTAGGCTGGAAGGGAGGGGAGGTGGGGCAGGAAGAGGTGTGGGAGGGAGAACTGTGGTTGTAATGTAAAATGAAATTTAAAAAATTTAAAAAAAAAACCTGTTCTTCATTAACCACATCGATTCCCTTGAAATGAATAATTTCCCTGGCCTCGTCATCGCCATATCCTTGGTGCCTAAGACCTCTCCCAAAGATCCCTGTTACCTCAATGAACACTACAGCAGCCTAGGTCAGCCTTCATTCCTATTTCTACCCTCATCCCCAAGAAGATTTAAGTTCTAACACTGACAAGTCCACCGTCTTATAGAAGGCACTGGTATCATGTCTCCCTCCCTCTCATGTGACAGAACCCCTTTCTTTTATGTAAAATATGCTTTATCTCCACACTAATAGATGCTTTTTTTCTGCTCTTGTATAACTTATTTCTAGCAATTCACTGCTGATTTCTCACTCCCTTGCTTTCCTTCTCTTCCATTTGTGCTCTATTCCTCCTCCCTCTCTACCTATGTAAGCTTTCACTTAATTACACCTGCTTTAATTTGTTTTGATGGCACCTAGAATAAAATTCCAATTCTTTATCACTGTGCCTGTATAATCTACATCAGCTGATCTGCATAATACTATCAGCAAAGTTGTAGGGTGCAAAATTAACACAGAAAAATCAGTAGCTCTCCCATATACAAAAGACAAAATAGACCCAGAAAAAATCAGTGAAATATCACTTTTCACAATAACTTCAAAACAATAAATTATCTTGCAATAACTCTATCTCTAAGCAAGCAAGTGAAAGACTTACAAAACCATAAGCCGGGCAGTGGTGGCGCACACCTTTAATCCCAGCACTCAGTGGCAGAGGTAGGCAGATCTCTGTGAGTTTGAGGCCAGCCTGATCTACAGAGTGAGTTACAAGACAGACTCCCAAAGCTACAGAGAGAAACCCTGTCTCAAAAAAAAATAAAATAAAATAAAATAAAACCTTAAAATATTGGTGAAAGAAGTTGAAAAAGACACTAGAAGATAAAAAGAACTCCTATGTTCATGGATTATTAGGAATAACATTGTGAGAGTGGCCATTCTACCAAAGGCAATCTACAGACTCAATACAATCCCTATCAAATTCCAACAATCTTCCATTTGTTGTGAAAACACACACAAATAAATCCTAAATAACAAAAGAACTACAGGAGGTGTCGGCATCTAAGATTTCAAGTCATATTACAGAGCTCTAATAATAAAAATAGCATTTTTTGCATGAAAAATAACACTTTGATCAACATAATAGAATTGAAGATCTAGACATAATCCCACACACCTATGTATACCTGTTTTTTTTTTTCAAAAATACACAGTAGAGAAAAGACAACATTTTCAATGAATGGTGATAATTAAAATAGATGGCTCCATGTAGAATAAGGCAAATAAATCCATACTCATCACCTGCACAAAACTCAACTACAAATGGATCAGGAACCTCAACATAAGACCAAATACCTGAATCTAAAAAAAAAAAAATGAGAGTAAGTGGGGAATAACCTTGAACTCATTGGCACAGGAGATGACTTTCTGAACAGAACACCAATAGCATAGGTACCAAGATCAGCAATTAATAAATGAGACTTCATGAAACTGAAAACCTTCTGTTCAGCAAAGGACACCATCATTCAGACAAAGTGACAGTCTACAGAATGGGAGATCTTTATCAGTAACTCATCTGATAGATGGTTAATATCCAAAGTACATAAAGAACTTAAAAAACAAACATCAAGAAAACAACTCAATTTTAAATGGGTATACAGAACTAACCAAAGAATTGTCAAAAAAAAAAACTGAAACATAAATGGCTGAAAAACAGTTAAAGAAATGTTCAACATCCTCAACCAATAGGGAAATAAAAATTAAAACTACTTTAAGATTTTATCTTAACCTCGTCAAAATGACCAAGATAAATAAAAAAGAAATTAAAAAAAAAAAACTCATGTTGGTAATGGTAAAAACTCATCCATTGCTAGTGGAAGTATAGCCATTATGAAAATCAGTGTGGGTTTCCTCAAGAATCTGGGAAAAGATCTATCTCAAGATCAAGTATACCACTCTTGGGCATATACACAAAGAACTCTACAGCTTACTATAGAGATACTTGTTCATCCATGTTCATTGCTACTCTATTCATAATAGCCAGAAATTGAAAACAAACTGGATGTTCATGGACAGATGAACAGATAATGAAAACATGATACATTTACATAATGGAATATTATTCAGCTGTTAAGAAAAATTAAATTTACATGTAAATGGATAGAGCTAGAAAAATCATCCTAAATGAGATAACCCAGACACCAAAAGATAACTAGCACATGTTTTCTCTCACATGTGGATGTTCACTAGGTATGCTGCAACACTGGGATAATCACAGGGGGTAGGTGCTTAGTTAGGGACCAGAAGAGAGGAGAGGATCCCCCAAGAAAAGGGAAATAGTACTATGGAGAGATAAAGGGAAAACTAGAATAAAATTATTAAACAGGGAAGGGGATGAGAGACAGGGGAATATAGGGAAGGACAATAAACACTAAAGGTCATTTGAAAAAACATGAAAATCTACTACTATTGAAGTTTCCTAAAAAATGTATATATCTGTATATGTATATATATGGAATATAAATAAAATCACCAATTAGGGCAGAGAATGCCTGTACTAGACATCTTATACCACTAAGTAACATTCCTGGAACTCATTCCAGCTCCAAGAATGAGTTACATCTTGTTGAATTGTTGGCCAAAGGGGCCCCATGGAAACCTCCAAATGTCACAGGCTATTGCCAAGGCTATTATTTGGTCTCTATAACATGATGGTGAGGCCCTATAGCTGAGTACAACATTTACTTGTATAATCGAACTTGGAGAAGTTGAACTGATGCCTAACTAGAAGCTTCCCCTCTACTGACTATCGTTCATTGTGGTAGAAGGTACCCTGTAGACTACTGAAGGAGAAAGGTAATCATCAATATCACCCAGCTACAAACCTTTCAACTTACAATAGTGAACTACAAGTAAGATTATTGGCGTGATAGTGGTACAAAGGTTATGAAAGTAATCAACTACTTTTTGGTTGGATTTAAGGCCTACCCTGTGAGATGGAACCCACACCTGAAACTGCTACAATGGTCAAGAGCCTGAAAAAAGACAGGTCATTGGCCTAGGGGGAAACCTATTATTCTATTAAAGAAACATAGCAATAAAATGACTTCCACTGACATACTGTTAAACACATGGAATAGACACAGTTCAACCCTCCCTCGTCAGAGAAGCTTCTTCTTGCTGTGGATGGGAATTAACACAAACTTTGGAGAATTCAGTCCTAAATGAAATGTCTTATCAAGCGCCTCCTCTCAAGGCTTGGGGATCTATGAGGAAGAGGAAGTGGAAAGATTTAAGAGCCAGAATGCTCTTAAAGGAAAACAGTGTCTTCCATACACAACAGGACAGGTGCACATATGACCTCATAGAAATGTGGCAATATACATAAAATCTGCACAGAATCTGGCCAGACAGGGTCCCATCAATGAAATGAGAGTGGGCATGTGGCATTCTATGTTCTACAAAGATTAGAATATTACATACTATTATGTTTTCCATTAAGAATTAATTCAGGGGCTGGAGAGATGGCTCAGAGGTTAAGAGCACCGACTGCTCTTCCTGAGGCCCTGGGTTCAATTCCCAGCAACCACAGGGTGGCTCACAACCATCCATTATGAGAACTGGTGCTGTCTTCTAGTGTGCAGATATACATGGAAGTGGAATGGTGTATACATAATAAATAAATAAATAAATAAATAAATAAATAAATATTTAAAAAAAAGAATTAATTCAGCTGAACTTGCCAATCACCTCATTCACATTGAGGCATGCTAAAGAGATGGAATTAAGTTTCCCCTGGGTGAGATAATGCACTTTTGCTTCACAGACTTTATCCTTGGTGCAGTCTCTTACATGGACTCCTATACAGCCTGTTTTCCTTAGTCCCAACTCCAAAATGTGTAACTGTTTTTTTTTTTTTCTTCTTTTTCTTTCTGATCCTGGTCAAAGCCTAAACATGTTAGCTCTGGCATTTTGGTACTTTCCCACTCTATTTTTTTTTTTTTAAAAATTTTAGAAACAATCTTATTTTATGTATCAATCCCCCTATTCCCTTGCCCTCCCATCCTCCCATGTCCCCCATCACCCCCTCCAACCCTCCCCCCACCCACTCCCCAAGGATAGTGAAGCCTGCCATGGGGATCATTAAAGTCTGTCACATCATTTGGGGGAGGGCCTAGGCCCTCTTTTGTGTATCTGGGCTGCAATAGTATCCCTTCATAGGGAATGGGCTCCCAAAGTCCATTTGTGCTCTAGGGATAAACACTGGCTCCACTGGTAGAGCACACACAGACTTCCCAGGCCTCCTAGCTGGCACCCACATTCAGAGGGCTTGGTTCGGTCCAATGCTGGTTCCCCAGCTTTACAACTAGGTCAGTTCAACTGTTTCTGTGGATTTCTCCAGCACGGTCTTGGCTTTTACTCATCCCTCTCTACAACTGGATTCCAGGACTATGGCTCAGTGCTTAGCTGTGAGTGTCTGCTTCTACTTCCATCAGCTACTGGATGAAGGCTCTAGGATGGCAATTAAGGTAGTCATCAATCTTATTATAGGGGAAGGGCATCAAAAGCAGCCTCTCCACTATTGCCTAGATTGTTAGTTGGGTTAGATTCCTTGTGAATCTCTGATATTTCCCTAATGCCAGATTTCTCTTTAAAACTATACTGACTCCCTCTATTAAGATATCTCTTCTCTTGTTCTCCTCTATTCCTCCCCTATCACAGTCTTCCTGATGCCTCTTGTTCTCCTTCCCCCCCTTCCTCCCTTCTCTTTTTCCTACCTCCTTCCCTCCCCCCCACCATGCTCCCAATTTGCTCAGAGGTTCCTGTCCCCCTCCCCTTCTTCGAGGGACCATGTGTTTCTCTCTTAGGGTCTTCCTTGTTTCCTAGTTTCTTTGGTGGTGTGAATTGTAGGCCGGTAGTCCTTTGCTCTATGTCTAATATCCATATATGAGTGAGTACATACCCTGCTTGTCTTTCTGTGATTACTTTCCTACTCTTTCTCTGCAACCATCCAACCACACACTTTCTACCAGATAGCTCCTCTGCTGAGCAGGCTCAGACAGCATGACTTTCTCTCTTCCTTTTCTCGATAACCCTCCACTAACAGCTGGCAGCTTACAGCCCACCTTCCCTGTTGTTTTCTTTCAGACTCTAAAAATACTGTCCACAAGCTTCCTAATCAGTCCAGTTTTAAATTCTTTAATCAACAATACTAGGAATCTAAAGAGGCCCTAATTTCCCTGGTCCTATATAGTGCCCAACATGGAGGTCCCCAAATTTTCCAGTGACAGAAGGATAACATGAGTCCAGAGATTCAAGTATAGATTAGTAACATGGTGAGAATCTATCTCAAAAAAGTAAAATAGTACAATAATAAAAATAAAACAAGACATAAAAATAACCAAATAGATTTTTTTAAGCAGAACACCTTCTAAAGATTTAAAAAGCCCTGGATACCATAAATTAATGAATTATAAGAAGATCAAGGCTAATCTAGTATTGCAAATTGGACTCTTTCTTATTTACCTGAAGCTGATTTGAAAGCTTCATCCAGTTCCTTGCATCTCTTATCTGATGTGGCCACAAAAAATGACTGTAAATCTGAAGAAGAACATCCCTTCCCCTTGTTTGATCCAAAACCTGGAAAAAAATGCAAAAGACAAGCTTTAGTTTCTGTGCTCATTAAAGAAGTCCTTTGGGGGGGCAGGGCTAGAAGTAGGGAGGGACAGGGCTAGAAGTGGTCTCCAGCTGTCTGTGGCAATTTACTAAAGAGTAACAAAATATGGGCAGTTTCAAGTGCTCTCTAAGGGCAAAGTTCAGAAAAGAGGATACTTGGATTTCGTTTTTTCCTTCCTATTAGCTTTGGCTAAAGGGTTAGAGTGGGGAGAAATCCCAAGTAATTTTTACATAAATGAGTAGAGGAAGCAGAAACTACAACTTCAAAGAGTTGTATCTCTTACTTACTCAACAAATAGATAAACACAGAAGTATGAGGGCTTCCCACTCACTGTAGATTCTAAAAGCTGAATTATAAGCCTATACAAATTAATTCCTAAATTCCCGGCCCTACTTACTTGGCCTCTTGGTTAGTATCTGTGGTACCTAATGAAAGGAATTAGGAGCAAGATAGTCCTCCTTTGAAGGCAGTTTGGTCGTGGGTACAAGCATAAAGAAAACAATATGTACACAACCTGGTGGAGCAGGTAGTCAATGCCATGAGTATCAAGGTTGAACAAGAGGCTCCACCTAATCGTTGAGCTGAGTAACTAAACTCAGAAAGCTCTGACTCATCAAGAGTCTGTCCATCTCTTGATGTACATCTAGGCTGATCTCAGATTTTAGTCATTATGAAAATAATTGATGTCGTCAATAGTGCAAGTCTCTGTAGTATGCTGACTACAAGTATTTTGTTTATATATCCAGCACTGGCATAGCTGGATCATATGGTAGGCATATTTTCAGTTTTTCAATACTGATTTCTGCAGTAGTTGGGTGAATTGATGGCCCTATCATCACTGTACAGAGCTCCTTTCTCTATATCCTCAATAACCCTTATTGTTTTCTTAATGATTGCTGTTCTCACTGGAGTAAGATGGAATCTCAATGTAGTTGTGATCTACATGTAAATGCCACAAAGTCTCAGATTTAGGAGGGAAACTAAATTTTTTGTTTTGTTTTGTTTTTGCTTGTTTTTTTGTTTGTTTGGGGGTTTCTCTGTGGCTTTGGAGGCTGTCCTGGAACTAGCTCTTGTAAACCAGACTGTTTCCGCCTGCTTCTGCCTCCCAAGTGCTAGGATTAAAGGCATGTGCCACTACCACCCAGCTGTGAAACTAAATTTATATCAAGCCATATGCAAGAATAGTCTTTCAAAGAAACAATGTCTTTGTCTGCTACAAAAATAAAATAATATTTGTGCATTTATTTTCAACCTATGAAACAAGAGAACTTCAAATTCTATTTAAATATAACTATAGGAAACTGAAAAGGTCCAGTGTAAGCAAGGAAAATATTATAATTACCCCATAAGGAAAAACTACAAGCTCCCCTTCAATCCCACGTAAGAATTCTTATTCATCTTCAAGATCATAACAGAATCTTTGCTGAAGTCAAAGACCCAAAGAGATGGTTGCAATGAAGGAAGTGTGGGCAATTGCACATGGTGAAAGAGAAGGTTTGAAATATTAGTTAGGCAGACAGAAAATTCTCTGGAAAGAAGGAACAATGAAAGTGTCCCTCATCTGAGCAATGGTGAGGGTCATCATTTCCAGCTGGAATCCGCAAAGCAGGAATTCCAGTGGCATGTTCATTTTCTAACAAAATCAGCCACCTTTGGCAGCATAGGGAGAAAGCTAGCTGATTATGGTGCCAGTTCATTCTGGCTTCAAATCCTGTCCTTGCAATCTATGTGACCTCAAAGAGTAGCATCATAACACCAAGTCTCTGTTTCTCAGTGTGGGTGGGGTGGGGGGTGGATCATAGTGCCCTCCTCATGAGATGGAAGTGAGAATTCTGGGTATCAATATGACTTAGTTCTCATCAACTAATCACAAACTAGAGTCACCTGGGGAGAGAAAGCCTTGATTGAGGAATTACATCCATCAGATTGGCCTGTCTTTGGGGCATGTTTTTATGAATAATTGATACAGGAGGGCCCAGCTCACTATGAGAGGTGCCACTCTGAACAAGCTATGTGGAACAATCCAGTAAGCAACATTCCTCCATAGTCTCTACCTCAGTTCCTGCCTCTAGTTTCCTGTCTTCACTTCTTGTTTGGTTCCCCTTAATGATGAACTGTATAACTTGTAAGTCAAATAATGCCCCCCAAAAAAATATTGTTTAAAGGTCATCAGGAAATTTGAAGGCAAATGGGTGGAACTAGAAAAAATCATCCTGAGTGAGGTAGCCCAGACTGAGAAAGACAAATATGGCATGTAGTAACTCATAAGTGGATTTTAGCTGTAAAATAAAGGATAACTATGCCACAATCCACAGACCAAGAGAGACTAGTTAACAAAGAGGGTTGGGGGGCGGGATGCCGAAATCTTCCTGAGAAGGGAAAACAAAAGAGATTTTGTGAGTGAACTGAGGTAGGGATGGAAACATTAGTTAACAGGTTGGGGGGGGGGCAGAGGGATAGTACTGAAAGAGACTACTGGAGAGGGAGACATTTAGGGATCAGGTAAAAACCTGGTGCAAAGTAATGTCCTAATCATCTACAAGGAGGACCCCAGCTAGGACTCCTAGCAATAGCAGATATGTAGTGTGAACTGGTCATTTCCTTGGACCAGATTGGCACCTAGCCCATCTGTCATCAGAGAGGCTTCCTCCAGCAACTGGTGGAAATAGATGCAGACCCACAGCCAAACATTAGCCAGAGTTCAAAGAATCCTGTAGGGGAGAAAGGACTATAGGAGTCAGAGGAGTTAAGGACATCAGAAGAAAACTCACAGAATCAGCTAACCTGGTCTCATAGGGGTTCACAGAGACTAAACCAACAATCAGGGAGCCTGCATGGGACTGACATAGGCACTCTGCATATATGCTACAGTTGTGTCCTCTTGTGGAACTACTAACAATGGGAACAGGGGCGGTCTCTGACTGTTTTACTGGCTTTTGGGACCCTACTCCTCATACTGGGTCGCCTTGCCCAGCCTTAATACATGGGGAGGTGCTTAGTCTTGCTGCAACTTGATATGCTATGTTTTGTTGATACTCACAGGAAACGTGTCCTTTCCTAAACAGAAATGGAGGGGGAGTGGACTGGGGGATGAGAATGGAGGAGGGTGGGGGGAGGGACTTTGAGGAGAGAAGGGAGGAGAAACTGCAGCAGGGTGTAAAATAAATTTATTTCAAAAACAGAAATATTGTTTAATCTTGACAACAAATTCTGGAGGAGATAAAAAGAACCCTGTTTATTACTGTTGGCAATGTATAGCTCCAATGCAAAACAGGATGAAGCTACCATACATGCCTCCACCACTCCCAGTACTCCTATATCCTAAGGACTGACTGTGTCAATATACTGAGAGATACATGCATATCCATTTTCATTGTGACATTATTCATGTTGTAATAGAAGGATATGCTCTATTAGAAGGATATGCTCAGACTAGATGCTCATCAGTAGATGAATGGATAAAGAAAAATGTACATAAGCACAATGGAATTTTATTCTGCTAGAAAGAAAACTGAATAAAATTATGACATTTGCAGAAAATTGAGGAAACTAGAAATCATTGTGTCAAGTAAAATGAACCAAAATTGGAAAGACAAATGCTAATAGCTTTCCTTCTGTGGAAGCTAGATTTAAATATGGGGAGAGTAGGCAGAAAGAGGGGAGGATTAGAAACGGCCCATGAGAGAAGTAGTAATCTTGGGGAAGGAGGGTGATGTGACACAAAAGTAAAGGAACTATTATAGGAGGTGGGAAGAGATACAAAGAAAAACGTGGGGTGCAGAGAAAAGGCCATGAACAAGGGAGATAAATAGGAAGAATATATGTATGAAGATGTGTAACAAAACCATTGCTTTGCAAGCTAACTTAGACATCTGTTCATAAAAAAAGAAGTACTTTTAAATCGGAGAAATGGGAAAGATTGTAAAGTATTATAAAATCTAACATTCTCTAGAGACAGCCAATGATGGTAATGGCTGAACTTGGTATTATTCAAAAGGGTAGGCAGACATTTCTTAAACCATGGGGGACTTTAAGTAGAGTATAATAGATTCCTGCAATGTTGGGCTCCTCTGCAATTTAAGTCTTTATCGAATTTTACAGCTTAAAAGTTTAAGCTGACCATGTATTTGCTCCCTTTTAAACTCTTCAGATGTTTTCAGGCCACATGCTTAATACCATACCACTGTGTTTGCTATATCCTGAGTCCACATAAAATAGAACTTTGTATTCTCCTCCTAAGGCTCCGGACTGCAGATAGTGTGTCCCATACTGGTCAATTAACCGTCGGTAGGCACTGTAGTCATATAGAGTGGGAAGATGGGAGAGTTCCTTCCAGAATGGTTCGGCAAGTTGTAAAAATTCAGGATTATTGTTAATGAACTGGGCCACTTCTACGCTGTTCCGAACAACCAGCAACTTATAACTCTGTGGGGAAAAGAAAGAGCAAAAGGAATTTTAGGTAGAAGATGAAAAGATAGGAAAAATAGTTCCCTATCCATTATCTTGATCAGCTGCCAATTCCCATCACCCAGGGTGATTTTACTCAAGTTGTAATGAGGTTTCTGCTGAGCTCACCTTCACGGAGTAACCTGAAGAATTCTGGAGCCCAAATAAGGTTGGCATCTGAGACAAGGATATCTGAGCAATGGTCATCTGGACTAGGAAAAGGCAACTGGCTGTATTATGCCTGCCTGACTAGTTTTGAAAAAAAGTGTTCAAAGTAATATATTTTAGAGTCACATTTTGGCCATAACTTATAGGTAAAGAGAATATATTGCTTATCTCTCATACTGGGATATTTATAGGTTAAACTATTTGTTTAACGGGGTCTTTTGAACATTTCCTAATAATCTTTTAATAAGTTTCAAAGCAGAACTTGCACTAAATCCCTACAGTGTAAGCAGTGTAATACAGAGATGATAAACATCTTAACTCATTCATATCCCACAGCCAGTTTTTTAGTTATAAAACAAATAAATTTGTTTTCCTTATGCTGCCTTTGCATGATTAAACAAACCTCTAGCTTTACAAATCAATCAGGCATCATGGTTAATGCCTATTAACCCAGAATTCTAGATCCTACCTCAAAAAAAGAAAAACAAAAAAAGGAAGGAAGAAGACAGGGAGGGGGAAAGGTAGCAGAGAGGGAGAGAGGGAGGGAGGGAGGGAGGGAGGGAGAGAAGAGGGAGGGAGGGAAGCAAAGAGAAATAACACAAACCAGGCATAATGGTACACACCTATAATCCCAGCACTTTAAAGGTAGAAGGAAGATGATCAGTAGTAGTTCAAAGCTAGCCTCAGCTGCATAGAAAATTCAAGGGCAAACTACGACTATACAAAACTTGTCTCAAATAATAATATTAGTAATAATAACAAACAAATATTTAATGAGAAAAAGGATAAATATATTGTCAAAAACAACAAAAAGTATCATACATTTAAAGAATGTATTGTTGGGGGAGGGCCTAGGTCTTGCCCCAAATGATGTGACAGACTTTGGTGATCCCCATGGAAGGCCTCGCCCTCCCTAGAGAGTGGATGGGGGTTGGTGGGGAGCATGGGAGGATGGGAGGGAGAGGGAGCTGAGATTGACATGCGAAACAAGCTTGTTTCTAATTTAAATAAAAAATATAATGAAATGAAAAAAAGATTGTTTCTAATTTATATAAAAAAGGAATGCATTGCCTCTTTAAGGAGTTATTTTTGCCTTAATGTAAATCATAAAACTAGTACTTTTGACAAATACACTTTTGTTAATGTTAATAACACTCAATACCAGTTAAGAACAGAAAAATTTAGTTAAGGTTTCATACTAACCTTTTTCATGTAGATTTCCTTGGTCTTTGAATTATGACTGTTGTGATCAGATGAGGAAGAGAAAAATAAGATTCTGCTTGACGAAGATGATTTGTGTTCTCTGGATGTGTGCTTTATATAAGACCAACTGCTGTTGTAAAACTCATAGTCAAAATCATTATTTATTTTGACCTGTAAGGAAAAGAATTTCTACTATAACTAAATAAGGGTGCTTTTGTTGTATCATTTAAGATGCATGTTTTTGGGGCTGGAGAGATGGCTCAGTGGTTAAGAGCACTGCCTACTCTTCCAGATGACACAAGTTCAATTCCCAGCACTCACATGGCAGTTCACAACTGTCTGTAACTCCAGTTCCAGGGAACCCAACACCCATGGCAGAGCACCAATGAATGCAAAACAAAAATAAATAAATTTAAAAAATAGATGCATGTTTTCAGGTATGGAGAGATGGCTCAGCAGTTAAGAGCACTGACCATTCTTCTGGGTTCAATTCCCAGCACCCACATGGCAGCTAACAACTGTCTGTAACTCCAAGATCTGACACCCTCGCACAGACATACATGCAGGCAAAACACCAATGCGCATAAAATAAAAATAAATAAATATATAAATAAATTAAATTAAAATATTTTTTAAAAGATGCCTGCTTTCTTCACAGTCTCCCATGAATACAAGTCTTTACAGTTATACAAAACCACTGTGACTGGTGTTAAAGTCGTGCCTGTCTACAGAAAGCGTTTGTTCTAAGATAATTCTGCTGCGCAGGAGCTGTAGTGTCAATAACAGCAACTCCCCATGGCTCACAAAACACATCCACAAATATATTCTGTTTTCTTTACTCAGCATTTAGCCAGATGGGAGCAAATTCATACAGCTATATCAACAGAGAACTTAAAACATTTGGCTCTTGAAACAAAGGACATCAGTAGGAGAAGAGGAGGGAACATAGACAGTAATGTAAGCGAATATGAACAAAACAGGATGCCAGACACATCTGAAAATACCATGATACAAGCATTGCAGCTCACAGGGGTAATCCCATCACTTCAAAGGCTGAGGGGGGCGGGCAGCCAGGGATTATGACACATCTGAGACTGGGCTACCTTGTGAGTTCCAGGCCAGCTTGAGTTACAGAGTGAAACTATCTCAAAGAAAGAAAATAAGTAAAGAAGGAAAGTATCATAATGGAACATTGCTTCATAGGCACACATACTAAACACAGAAATCAAGAAGAGGTTTGAAGAGAGAAGACACTGGCAGGGGAAGAACTATGAAGGCTAAGCTGAAGGAAGAAGGCAGTAAAATGCAAATGAAAAGTACTGATGGCAAGAGAGAACAAGTTGAACAGGTCTCCTTGATGTTGAATGATGGGTAGTGTTAATAATAAATTGAGTCAAAATACCTTGGGATGTTAGTGTGTTGGATGTTTAAATTGGTGATTGGGAAAATCTGTTATCTGAGGTAGAAGAATGAAAATTAATAAAATTACACTATCTTGAAAAAGATCATGCCTGTAGCCATGTGTAGGGCACACAGGAGTGAAAAGAGATTGCAGTAAACCAGACAGGAATATTATTGGATAATCAGGAATTACAGATTTGAATTGTAGATTTGAAGGTGGGGGAAAAGAAACAAAAAATTTGGCCCTAGATTCATATTTCTCAAAAGAAATACAAATAAAAACAACCTAAATATTGTTTATCTGAAACCAAATGGCACAGGGACATTGCTGTGGTTGCAGACACCTTCACAGTTATTTTATTACTTTTTTGTGAATGTATGTGTTTCCAGTAGCCTTTTTTGTGTGAAAAGTATGAATAAGTAGAGAATGTGTATGACAAGGTTAGTGGCTTAGGCAAGAGGAAACCAGGCTTTACCTAAGAGCCTGCATTGCTAATAACCAGCATGCAGATTATAAGCGAACATGCATGTTTATGCTTACTAATTGATGTCCCAAATAAGTCAGAAGCCACCCTCTATCCTGTGGAGAGCTGATCACACAGTGAGCCCTAGGTCGGTTTATTTGAACTCTGGGGAGCTCTTGCAGCCCCCATCTCCACATCTGCATTTAGCACTCAGATGACTGGCTCACTGCCTGTTGCTTCCACCTCACTTCGCTCAGGCTGGATTTGCAAATCATTGCTATTCCGCACTCAGTAACAGGCTATAATTTCCCTCTACTCTGACAAACACCTTCAGTCTCAGTGACAGGAAAGGCATTTCAGACGTCAATCCCCCAAACCAAGCCCTGCTGAGGAAAATGAATGTCAGGATCACGCTGTAGTTAAATCGTTCTCTCCAGAGGCCACAGGCTTCTAGCGTGTCTCCTTCCAACTAACTCGGAAATATCCTTCCTCATTATTTCCTACTCTCTGTAACGTTCTAAATTTGACCCTTTTGAAAATTTAAATGCAATCTCTCTCCCTTATAATTATGCAAGAATTAGTAACATATGCTTCCAGGAATAGAAGTTGAACAATAATTATTAGTACCTACATGCCCATATCTCATGTTCTCCCTCCTAGCCAGAGGTTAAATTACAATACATGCTATTTATTATGTAGAATTCAGAATTGAAAAGGAAAGTAGATGCAAGAAATGAGAAAAACAAAATGCAACAGAAAAATAAAGGGCTGCAGAATCTGACTCTCTCGCTCTAGGTTACACTGTTTTAATGTGGTAATGTGGAATAAGCCAAAGTCTTCCAAGCCTCAATTTACACATGACACACTAGGAAAATATTACGTCCAAGAATAGTACAGGGATTAAATCTATACCTGTTGCTTTAAAAAGAGAAAATGCAGAGTAGATATTCAAAAGTTGGCAGCTGTAGCTGTTTCTTAAGTCCTTTGTTTTATGTCATACTTACTTGGCTTAATAACGTTTCCAGCATATTATAATTACACAAAAGTTAGGGGGGTTTGTGATGGCATTTCCATACACAAATATTATATACTTATGTCATATTCATCCCCTCTATTATTCACTTTTATTCCTCTTCTCTTTGCTGCCTTCACTATCCACGGGATTCCTTCAGTTCCAGGATTTAATAAGTATTCACTGTACCTAACTCATTCTACTGTAAATTGAAGGTTAACGCTTAGTACTCATCATCAAAGCTGCTTCTCTAGAGGCCTCATCTGAGTAGGCAGAAAGTCATCCAGTCTCAACAGCAGTCATTTTTTATTTGAAAAAAAAATGAAAGTTAAATGTAGGGATAACTCAACTGGAAATGCAGGGAATTCTGAGATGAAGTAAAGAAAAAGAGTGAGAAAGTAGCTGTTGGAAGATGAAACCAACAAAGAGGTTACGACAGAATGAGACCAGAAACTCCACTTTGATGAGGCTGTGAAGAGAGATTTTGAGGGTTGGGATATGAACTAGAATGGGTGGAATATGTTCTGGGTACTGGACTGGGAAACCCTCCTGCTGCACCCAATTCCTCAGGAAAGTCTCCAAGATCCTTAAGAGTTTTGTATGAACAGATTTGGTGTTGGTACCCAGAACCAAGACGAGAACAACAGGGGCATCTGAAAAGCAGGGGCTTGGAGCAAGAGGGACTCTGATCAAAAGCAAAGATGCGTAGTCAGTATGGACAGCATGGAACCATGACCACTTGTCCACACTGCTGTTAGAATATCAACTGATGCAGCCATTGTGGGATCATAGAAAAGTTTCATTGTGCAGATCCTACAAAATGGTGATTCAAGTGGTAGGCGTACAACCCTAGGAATTTGTGCAAGATTCGTGCACCATAATGTTGAGAGCGTTTTCATAAGAAAAGAAATGGGAACAGGAATAAAAAATTCCATCTTCATGAACATGAATAACTCTCAAAAACATATTTTAGCAAAAAAATAAGTCATAATAACTCTATTTCTGTAAATGACAAAAAGCAGGCAAAACTAAGTCACAAGCAGCTATTTAGAGATACATAGATACATGTAGATTTCCAATTGCAAATACATGTTACCGGACTCCTTTGCAAATATAAGTTGTGTCACAGCTTTAAAATAAAGCATTGTAAATGAACTACCACTATGACAGCAAGGAAATCACCGTAACCAGCTGCAGCCAAAACCTTGAATGTTAACACTCATACAGGGCAGATGCTAAAAGGTCCTGAGTTCACATGAAACAGAAGTTTAAAAAGCATGTTAAAAACATGTTAATAGAGCCGGGCGTTGGTGACGCACGCCTTTAATCCCAGCACTCGGGAGGCAGAGGCAGGCAGATCTCTGTGAGCTCGAGACCTGCCTGGTCTACAAGAGCTAGTTCCAGGACAGCCTCCAAAGCCACAGGGAAACCCTGTCTCAAAAAAAAAAAAAAATTTATGCAAATTGGCCACATGAACTCACAGCAGTGGGACTGAATGCACAAGGCCTGAACAAGATCCAGCAGCCAAAATCGAAGTATGAATAGTGGAGGGGCTACCAAAGTCTCACCACTAGCTGGGGAGCCATTGGCAATTGATGGCTGCTGGGAGAGGTAACGATGTGGAGCCGGAGAGGCTATTCATGCTCCATTAGATGGCTCCACGCCCATGCACATACAGATAGCATTAAATGGACTCTGTGGTTTGGGCTTTATTTTTTCTAACAAGCACTAAATAAAGTTGAAAGGCAAAAGTATCATAGGGGAGGAATTAGAGAGAGGGGAAAGATGATATCAAAACAGTATGTGTATATATATATATATATGTGTGTATGTGTGTGTGTGTTTGTGTGTGTGTGATATATATAATATGCATTATATTATAATATGTATTCTATTTTATGTGTGTATATATAGATATAAAATTTTAAAATGATAAAAAAACTGACCAAATATTAGACCATAAGCAAATTCCCAACAAGTACTAAAATCTTGATGCATATAAACAATGATTGCTGACAAGTCACAGATTACAATGAACTAAATTGGTGTAATTAAGTACCTGAAATGTATAAGACAGGATATTTCCACTCAGTCTGTAGAAGTCTTTTCCATCCCCACTGAACACTTTCCGGCACTGACCACCAAAACTTTTGGTGTTGAGGACTCTGTTCCTGAACTGCCCTGTGAGTGCATTGTAACTGTAAGGAGGAGAGAGAGGGGGAGAAGGTGGGGAGGTGGGGGGTAATTAAAAACCAGAACAAATACCAGCTAGAGAAAAAATATGAGTAAAGCCTGTAGAAATCAATCATTAAATTCCTCTACAGTTCCACACCTGAGAAGGAGCAACACTCTAATGCCCGCCTGCCATGCATCAGCCAGCTCCTCCTGATGTTAACTAAACAGCAGAGGAAATCCAACATCTTGTCCGCCTAAGAACATATTTGGGTATCCAGGGTCTGTGGTATCTATGGCAACAGCTGCTTTAGAATTGATTCTATAGATAAAACCAATACAATTAAGGTTACTGGGAAGCCAAGATTGCTTGCTATCGGAGTTCCCAGCTCGTTCTCTTAGCATGCTGAAGAGTGTTCCTTAAAGAAACTCTGCCTCTTTTTTGTTAATAAACCTGAAGCTATTGAAGGGAAATTCACGTTGATTTTTCCATTAATAGGTTATTTTAGAAAATAAAAGCCTAGAATTGACTTAATCCTAATTTCTTATAAGGTAATCTCCCTTTCACTTTCAACTGTCTTCTCCCTTCCTTCTCCTCTTTCTCTCTCTCTCTCTCTCTCTCTCTCTCTCTCTCTCCCTCTCTCTCTCTCCTTTGTCTCTCTATCCTCCTTTTCCTCCTCTTAGAACAACCAACTATCCAGATTTCCATGGTGCAGAGGTTTCCCTTGATGTGAAATGTTCAGTGATAAATCCCAGTGTAGCTAGAACAACAGCTGACTGGACATTTTCCCACATGTATCTATAGGTACTCAGCTATGAATTTTTAATTGGAGCAGGATGTGGCAAAGATGTCTGAGCTTATTATTAGAGTCACCAAGCCACAAAACAGAAAAAAAGTAAAAACTACAACCCACTGGTGTTCTTGGAAGGCCTCTCAGCACCTTACCCATTGCCAGTAAGTTCTATGTTGGGAGGAGGTTTATCAATGTCACAGGAAGGTCTGCTTTCTGCATCCTCACATCTGTCTTCATCAGCACTATCTTCTTCACAGTCAGAATCCCCATTGCAAACCAAGGATCTGCTGATGCACTGGCCTGGACGGGAGAGAAGCTCCAGGAAAATATAAAAGAGGGAAGAATAAGGGCTGGGATCACCCCCACCCCTGAACTGAACTGATAGACTCGTGAGGGTCTCAGACAAGCCTTCACCTTGTCTAGAAAAGAAGTAGTGATAGTTTTTAATCTCCATTTTGAAACACACAGAGCTGGTTTTCACCTTCTCCGGGTGGAAACTGAAAATAGACCTGAACTCAAAAGTCCAGAGTCAACGCGGTAATCATCAAGCATTTTTGTCTGCATCCCCCAAGTCCCACACAATACTGGTAAAACAGATAGATGTCCTACTCCTTGGCTTTTTTATTTTGTTTCTGTAGTTGTTCATCTAGATGTTAAACTTGTGCTTTTCTTGGTGATTAAGATTATAATTTTTTAAAGCAAAGAAACCAGACAAAGGAGCTGGAGAGATGACTCAGTGGTTAAGAGCACTGACTGTTATTCCAGAGGACCCTGGTTCAATTCCCAGCACCCACATGACAGCTTACATCAGTCTGTAACTCCAGGCCCAGGAGATCTGACACTCATGGCAAAACACAAATGCACATAAAATAAAAATGAATAATTTTTTAAAAAGAAAATAGACCAAAAGATTGAAATTCTATGTTTCTTGGCATCTCCTCTGTGGAAGACTTCCTGCTATTGAGAAACAAATATGTATGGTATGGTCATTGCCAGACTTTTCATATGCAGTATAATCTGATAGTAAAGACTATGAAGACAGGAACCATTATCAGTCATCAGCATCACTGCTATGATAACTCAGAATATTGAGAAAGCATCAGTGAGTACCAGATAACCTTGGCCCTGTCTTTCTCCCCAGCACCATCCCAGCCTTTTTCTTACCAGCCTTCCTATGCCCTCTGCATGTCCAAGGTTTCTGTCATCTCAACTACTTAATACATCATTCTCTCTGTACAGAAAGATTTTCTCTACTCCTCTCTGATGTTTTTCAAATAGCAAATTAAATATTATCCCATTTTGAAAAACATCCTTATCCCTCCGACTATGAAGGTCATTCTTCCTCTATTTCTTCAAAGGATGCTTCGTGCACGGAAATGTTCACAGTGCAGCATGCAGCTCACTCTATGTATCACTCAAGGCAATGTGGAAATATCTGCTGAGAGTCTGCCTATGTGCCAGGCATTCCTCATGAGAAAATAAACAGTTATGTCTACAAAATTTCAGAGAGATATACAGGTCACCAATTTGGATTACGGAGAGTGTAAGGTACACAGTGAGCACAGAGAAGTGATTTGTTGGTTAATTCTACCTCCTGAGGGTTTAGCAAAGGCTTCCCAAAGCAGCTACCACTTGATCTGAGTTTTCAAAATAAACAGAAGTTTTATAAGTACTATTTAAGAACAACCATAGACCTTGATGGATTCAGTCCTAAATGGAAGGTCTTTATCGAAGCACTCAGGGCTCAGGGATCTATGCAGAAGAGGAGGTGAAATGACTATAAGAGTAAGATAGGATGAATGACCCCAAGCAAATAACATTTTCTAGGCAGAAAAAAATGTGCATATGTATATATAGGACAACATGCATAGGTATATATACGACCTGCATAGGTTCAGGTCAAACAGGGTCCCAACACTGGGAAGGAAAAGTGGACACAGGGTCCCACTCCTACCAAGAAGCTATTTGCAACTTATACCCAGGAGCAAAGGGGAAATCATTTTGCTCCAGTGGAGTGATACTGGGTATATTAACCACACTCCAGGGCAGGCCTCATTCTCAGGAGTAGCTAGCCAATACAAAAAGGATTCCATGATTTCCTGAGTGCTTTTGTTGCTAGGGTTTTGTGGGTTTATCTTCTTTAGATATTTTTTCTTGATTGTCTTTTTTTTTTTTTGGAGAGAGAGAACATGAAATTGGGTGGGTGGGGAAGTGGGGAAGATCTGAGAGGACTTGGGGGAGGAGAGAGAATATGACCTAGTATATTGTATGAAAAATTTTAAAAAGTACTAAGTAAAAGAAAAATTCTAACACACTGATTCTTTATCTACTAATCTATCCATGAAAGTCCAATATGTTGAGGAGTGGTGGCACAGATTTTTAAAGCCAGCACTTGGGAGGCAGAGACAAGCGGATCCCTGAGTTCAAGGCCAACCTAGTCTACAGAGTAAGGTCCAGAACAACCAGGGCTACACAGAGAAACCCTCTCTCAGGAAAAAAAAAAAAAAAAACTTAACAAACTACAACAACAACAACAAACCCTTCAATGTGCTTTTTGTTTGTTTGTTTGTTTGTTTGTTTGTTTTGCGACGGGGGTTTCTCTGTATAATAGTGCTGGCTGGACAGAAACCTGCTTTGCAGGCAATGCTGGCCTTGAACTCACAGAGATCCACCTGCATCTGCCTCCCAAGTGCTGGGATTAAAGGTGTGTGCCACCACCGAATGGTTAATATGTTGTTTTATGTTGAGTGTGGTGGTTCACACCTGTAACCTCAGCACTGGGGAGGTGGAAGATCAAAAGTTCAAAGTCATTCTCTGCCACATAGAAAATTGAATGTCAGTCTCATCTACAAGACACTATGTCTTGAAAAGAAAAAAGAAATTAGTTGAAACTGTGAATAGCTATAATTCTATCAATATACCAAAGAATGCCCACGCCTTTATGTCTTTCTTGCTTTTGAATGGGTGATATCTAAGTGTGTGATTTATGTGACTATGCAATTAGTATACTAACAAAAATCTTGCTTATACAAAGGGGGCAAGACCCAGCTCGTGAAACCTACAGAGACAGCTGACCTGAACAAGGGGAAGCTCATGGACCCCAGACTGACGGCTGGAAGGCCAGCATGGGACTGATCCAGACCCCCTGAACGTGGGTGTCAGTGAGGGGGCCTCTGGCAGTAGATCAGTATTTATCCCTGGTATATGAATGGACTTTGGGAGCTCATGGGAAGAGGGGAGGGAGGGGGAGCTGGGATTGACATGTGCAGCAGGCTTGTTTCTAATTTAAATAAAAATTAATTTTAAAAAATCTTGCTTATACTTGGAGAAAATTCATTAAGAGGCCAATATAAATTCAAACAAATATGCAAGGAACAAGTTAACAAATATCATTGGAGTTATAGTTTGAATGCTGAGCCCATGGGAAACAACTTACCTGAGAAACACCTAAAACGTTCTCCACAGCCCTCCTCAGTTGGACAACCTAGTTCAGGATTGCAGGATTGTGTTTGGAAAGCACTTCCCACACATGGGTGGCCTCCATACTGCCCATAAACAGCAATCAAACGCCTTCGAGTCTGGAAACAAAGCAGAAAATCTCTTTATATTTTATATGTTGGTTATCCCAAGTTTTCTTGAGTAATAAAATCCAAGAACTAATTCAATTTGAGAAACACTGTCCAGGAACGTGTTCTGATGTGGTGCAGAAGTAAAACCCACAAAATCAATGAGCCCGAAGGTTCAATGACAGTTAGATTGCTATTTACACAGATCTTCAAACCATATATTTACTTTCACTGTTGAGTGGCGGGGGGGGCTCTTCCTAATGACTCTTTGGAAATGTAACTTGAAAGAATAAATACATTACAATACAGAATGTTTAACATTTCCCCCAGAATATCCTGGGAGTTAAGCAGAACAGAAAAAAATGAAATGCATTTTGTTGGAGGAAAGGGCAGGGAAGGTTATGGGGGAAAGAGTTAAGATGAAGTGAAGTTAGCAGAACAGTGGTGGTACACACCTCAATTCCAGCGCCTGGGAGGCAGAGACAGGCAGATTTCTGTGAAACCATATCTGAAGGATGTGGGGATGAAGTGAAGAAAACCTTAATAAACATGATAGGTGACTGACTTGAGCTGGGTCTTCCAGGAAAAAAAAAAAAAAAAGAGAGACATGGAAAAAGAACCCAGAGAGAAATGTACTAATAGAGAGGCCAAGTGTGCAAAATGACTATGAGCAATCCAAATGTCAAGGGATGTTAACAATGAGATTTTACTAGCTGATGGAGAGTTGAGCTCTGAGAGGGAAATGAGTTAAAATCAGACATCTTTTGGAAAAGAAGAAAATGGAAGAAGTTTCTGCACTAAGTGAAAAATTCATAAGCTGTCCTAAAATCCACTTGGTTCACATTAAGTATGGAACTATATATCAAATGCTTAAACAGAGCACCATCATTCCTATTGACTAGTGGTCTCCTCTTGTACTTGTCCCTTTGCTGTCTAGTTTTATGTCAACTTGCACAGGCGAGAGTTATCTGAAGGATGGGAACCTCAATTGAGACAACACCGCCATAATTTCCAGCTGTGGGGCATTTTCTTAATAAGTTCCTTTGTGTTTGGTTCCTTTGTTGATGGGGGAGATCCCAGCCCATTGTGGGCAGTGCCATCCCTGGCTTGTGGCCTGGATTCTGTAAGAAAGCAGGCTGAGCAGGCCAATAGGAAGCACTTTTCAATGGGCTCTGCATCAGCTCCTGCCTCCAGGTTTCTGCCCTGCTTGAGTTCCTGTTCTCACTACTTTTGATGATAAACTGTTATATGGAACTGTGAGTGAAATAAACCCTTTCCTCCCAGAGTTGGTTTTAGTCATGATGTTTGACAGCAATAGTAATGAAAAGCCAAAACTCCAGTTCAACCCTTTCACCAGCCTTAGCTCCTAGAGACTATGTTGTATGCAACAGGCCTAGGGCCAAAACCAAACACAAAGGAACTCCAAACCCCCCTAGCCTCTTAGATACTTGGATCCTGGGGACTGTTTGACCACAAAAGAAACTCCCCTGTAGTCTCTAGGAAATTCAATTCTGAAAAATATTTTTAAAAGAGCCCCCCTGCAAGCCATAGAAACCACAGAATGTTCCATCCCAGCACCAACCTATGAGAAAAATGGATACACAGGTATTACATGCCAAATACATGACTTTGAAAAATTTCTTGTTTGTTCCTCAAATGTCAACCAATCAGAAACCAACTGGTACCTACTGATGTAATCCTGTAACTTTTGTCTTTAAAACCTAGCAGTAGACAGGGAACTTCACCCCCTCTGGAGGCTGCTATGTGAGCTTGTTGGACGGGGTCCCTCCAGAGGTATAGGATAAAATTTTTTTTTTATTTTTTGTTTTTTGAGACAGGGATTCTCTGTGTAGCTTTGGAGCCTATCCTGGCACTTGCTCTGGAGACCAGGCTGGCCTCAAACTCACAGTGATCTGCCTGCCTCTGCCTCCTGAGTGCTGGGATTAAAGGCATGTGCCACCAACGCCCGGCAAACAATTTAATAAACCTCGTGCATTTGCATTAGTGGTCTATCTCCCTGGTCTCTGGGGATCCTTGTGATTCGGGCACAACAAGTAACACTAACTAAAATAACTCTTATTCTATTAACAAAAAGAAGCCCATCTCATTTCGAGAGGAATCAAACCTTGAGTGACAATCAACAGGGAAGAAGCATACAAACCAATTTTAAATGTACTCATCCATCTTACATTGGGTTGAAAGTGGGTACCACCTGAGACAAGTGGTCACACTGTGTAATTTGGATGCTGAGTCTTCATGAGCCTCAGCCTGGCATTAGCACCTTGCATTGCAGTTAACAGCAGAGCTGTAATAAATGGCACCAGTAAAGCTTCCAAATATGCTTTTAGTCGCTCTTTTTAAGGGACAAAGACTTGCCACATCTGTAGCTTTTCTGGGTTCTGAACACACAGTGCACTTGCACAGGGATGATTGACCATCTCTGTGTTGCCAGCCGGGCCCTAAAGGCTGTTCGATCTCCACAGGCTCATTCTCACCTCTCCAGTTCTGATCCTCTGACCTTTCTCATTTTCACCTGTCTCTTTCTGAACAAAAACTGTGTTTTGTCAACTGGAATATATCCACTTCACAATGAGCGTCATCAAAGGAAAGAAAATACTTATATGGCAAACATCCTCTGTCTTTCTATTTAGAATTCAGTTTTTGGTTTTTAAATTATAAAAATGATCTGTGTGTTTGCTGTTTCTTTTAATTTGGCCTTGTGTTTTTGTTTCCTCTGTAATCATAGTCATCATCTATTATGTTTGCTAGATGCCAAATTTTTCATTTGTGTAACTTATTTTGAAAATAACACTTTCTGGGCAGTGGTGGCACACACCTTTAATCCCAGCACTCCAGAGGCCCAAGCAGGCTGATCTCTGTGAGTTCGAGGCCAGCCTGGTCTACAAGAGCTAGTTTCAGGACAGCCTTCAAAGCCACAGAGAAACCCTGCCTCAAAAAACAAAACAAAACAAAATTTCTGTATTCTTATCAATGAATGGTTTATAAAGAAAAACACATTTTTAGAAGTATTGTGCAACTGATCCAGACCCCATAAATGTGGGTGTCAGTGAGGAGGCCTCGGAAATATATGAGGCCTCTTGTAGTAGGTCAGTACTTATCCCTAGTGGAGGAATGGACTTTGGGATCCTATTTCACATAGAGGGATACTCCCTCAGCCTAGACACATGGGGGAGGGCCTAGGCCCTATCCCAAAGGATATGACAAACTCTGAAGGCCCCCCCCCCCATGGAAGGCCTCACTCTCCCTGGGGAGCAGAAATGGTATTGGATAGGTGGGGGGCAGGGGAGGAGGGGAGGGAGAGGGAACTGGGGTTGACATGTAAAACAATCTTGTTTTTAATTTAAATTTTTTTAAAAAATTAAAAAAAGAAGTATTGTGCAATATTTGAGTCATGCCTAGTGTTTCATTTTATATTATTACTTAGGAAATAAATTTAAAAGATTGAAGATACTTGACTTATTCATATTTGGTCCCTATTTTTTTTTTTTTTTGGTTTTTCTCGAGACAGGGCTGGCCTCGAACTCACAGAGATCTGCCTGCCTCTGCCTCCCAAGTGCTGGGATTAAAGGCTTGTGCCACCAACGCCAGGCTTATTTGGCCCTATTTGTTAAGTAAAATGAAGCATCCATTTCACTGTTTACTGGTGTTTGAGAGGAAAAGTTGAAACTGGTGAACAAAACATAGATTTTAAACTTTATTCTATGCTATTCCTGTTTGTTTAATTACCCTGAATTACCCTGAACTTTCTGTCTGTGTTTCAAAAAAAAAAAAAAATTCAAAAAAAATATAGACATCACAGTATAACAGTATTGTAAACAAGTTCTCATTTCTTACTGGAAAACTACTAAAATTGGTTTCAAAATACATGAACACTAATTGATGACCATTCAAAAGTTGATTTTGTTGTGGTCATACCTTCACATAACAATAACCAAGTCAAATGTTCTGTAGGAGCCTACCTGTGTCCTGGTACAGCCATTGCATTCCGTCCAAGGACCATAGGAGTCCCACTGACAGTTCACTGGAGAAGAGGCTCTGTCACGGCAACAGATTTTCCATCATAAAACAGGTGGGATGATAAGCAAGAGAACACAAAGAATAGATAAGAATGGTCAAAAGTCATCAAAATTAGCTCAGCTTTAAACAGTGATCACCTGTGATCCAGTCTCCCGCTCCCGAATTTTGGGAATGGGCAGGTAAAAGCAGGAGGATCAGAAGTTCAAGGTCTTGCTCATCTACACAATGAGTTTGAGGACAGCCTGAGCTATGTGAGAGCCTGTCTCAAAAAAAAAAAAAAAAAAAAAATACAGACAACAAAAATGTGCTTTAAGATGCAGCATGTAATCATATGAAAATATCACCATGAAGCCCATTTTATATATTTATCATAGGTTGGGTAAAAAGAAATGCCTTCAAATTTTTAAAGAGGTATTAAAAGTATGATAAGATATATGAAAATGAATAGAAGGGCACTTATTTTTACTAGAGCTTAACTTTTATTAAATACCTATTTTGTACAAAGTACTGTAAGGATAGGGATACATCAATTTCTAATCATCATATACTATATCTAATGTGATAAATTTCATAACAGTGTTTGTACTGGCTATTTTTATGTAAACTTAACACAAGTTAGAGTCATCAGAGAGAAGGGAGCCTCAATTGAGAGATGCCTCCATAAGTGGATCAAGCTGTAGGCAAGCCTGAAGAGAATTTTCTTAATTAGTGATCCATGGGAGAGGGAGGTTCCAGCCTAGTGTGGGTGGTGCCTTTCCTGATCTGATCACCCTGGGTTCTATAAGAAACCCACAGTGAGCAAGCCAGTAAGCAGCACTCCTCCATGGCCTCTGCATCAGCTCCTGCCTCCAGGTTCCTGCCCTGCTTGAGTTCCTGTTCTGATGTCCTTCAGTGATGAACTGTGATGAGGAAGCTAATAAACCCTTTCCTCAGCAGAAAGGTTGAGTCAGGTGTAGATTAGTTGGGGAGGGGTGGTAGGGGAGGAAGGGAGGGAGAAGGGAACTGGGATTGTCATGTAATTCAATCTTGTTTGTAATTCAAATATATAAAAAATAAAAAACTAAAACAAAACAAAAAACAACAACAAAAAACTATAATGATCAGGTTAAAAATAATAAAAAATAAATAAAAAATAAACCCTTTCCTCTCCAAGCTGCTTTGGTCATGGTGGTCATCACAGCAATAGTAACCCTAACCATGACAATGTTTACATGAAATTTATTATAGGAGTATAAATAAAGGAGTAGTCAAAGTTAAGCGAGTAGGTGAGAATATTTGGGAGGAGCGTATTGGCCCTTTGAAGAAACTCAATAATGACATGAAGAGCTATCCAGAAACTTGAAAGACAAGTTCTAAGAATAGTAGAAAAATACTAGCAAAGGCTATATGACAGCAATTTATGTTTAACGATCCTCCATATTCACTCCTCTGAATTTACTGTTGTTTGCCTGTCTGTGCCCCACAAGGAAACAGAGGCCTTCCCCAAGTATGGGGGCACAGGATGGACACTGTGTAGCCTTCCCTCCTGTCTCACACTGCTGGCCTCAGGACCTTGGTCACCAGTGGGCTCTACATGCCATCTCATTCTTTGTGTCCCCAGGTCTTGCACATCTCCTGACACTTATTCTAATAGTTCCATCAAGTGACCGGGCCTGGTTCTATCAATCCAACAGTACAAATCCAACAGCAAGGGAATGGATAAATGGTGCTGGCTTTTTTTTTTAAATACTGATCTTCACTTTATCAACATGTTTTTTTTTTAATATTTTATTTATTTATTATGTATACAACATTCTGCTTCTATGTATATCTGCACACCAGAAGAGGGCACCAGATCTCATAAAGGACAGTTGTGAGCCACCATGTGGTTGCTGGGAATTGAACTAAGGACCTCTGGAAGAGCAGTCAGTGCTCTTAACCTCTGAGCCATCTCTCCAGCCCCCATGGTGCTGGCTTTTATCCAACCTTCAGGAACCAAGAAAACTATTTTCAAAAAAAAAAAAACAAAAAACTCTTGACCTTTAAAATCTAAAGAGTGTTTATCAAGGACTAAATTTAAAGATTAAATATTGCTCTGGGTCAGCTGCAGCTCTCTGATTAAGGTAAAAGCCTGGAACAGGACCAAAAAAAAGGGGGGGGGGCATTTTTGTTCTTGTTTCTTCCTCAAAAGGAAAAAAAATAAAACGTAATTATTATATTTTCTAAAATAATGGAAAAATGAGATGCATAAACACATCCAATGTGCTCTATAGAATTTAAACCACAGCACTTGGGAGGCAGAGGCAGATGGATCTCTGTGAGTTCAAGGCTAGCCTGGACTATAGAGTGAGTTCCAGGACAATCTCCAAAGCAATACAGAGAAAACCCATCTCGAAAAAACCAATGAAGATGAAGAAGAAGAAGAAGAAGAAGAAGAAGAAGAAGAAGAAGAAGAAGAAGAAGAAGAAGAAGAAGAAGTTAAACCATACTAAGGAATTCCCTATTTCTTATATTTTTAAATTTGCAATACAAAATCCAAAGCATTCTTACCTTAGGAAGATTTGAAACTCTGCCATAAATCCCACCAAAAAGAATAAGCTTATTGCCTAGGATAGAAAACAATGAAATATTACTTTAGCTTTCATTTCCTTAATGAGTTAAAAATGAATACATCCATTTAAGTATAGATTTGTGGATTGGGAGAATATGAGTCAAAGAATCATATAAAAGATAAATGACTTTTCTTTTTGAGATTGTATTTTAAATAGAAGCTTGAAGGTTCTTCAAAAAAACTTAAAAATAGAGCTATCATAAGATTTTGCAATCCCAATGAAATGAAATCAGTATGCCAAAAAAAGATATGTACATCCCGATATTTATTGTAGTATTAGTCACCATAGCTAAAACAAGAAATCTAACAGTGTCTCTCATTGGGTGAAAGAATTAAGAAAAAGGTAGGAAGAGAAAATAAGGGATACAGCTCACTGGTGCTTAATCAATTTACATGAGATTGTACTTGACCTCCAGTATGGTTTAGGGGGTGAGGAGGAGAAAATACACACAATGGGATACCACTGAACCTTAAAAAAGAAAAACCTGTTTGCAATAACACATATGAACTTAGAAGGTATTGTGTTAAATAAGCCAAGCACAAAAAGAGAAATACCATTGGATAAAACTCATCTATAGATGTTATCTAAAAATGTTGAACTCAACGAAGTAAAAAGGAGAGTGAACAAGTGACTGTGGGTTACCTAATCCCAGCTGGTATATCTACAATCCAGCCTCTACACCTAAGGCTCAGGGAACATGGTAGAAAAGGTGACAGAGAGATTGGAGAGATTAAAGAGGAATACAGCACCTGCTATAAGATAGTGTATTCTAAACATAACAGGAGAGCTGCACCTGTGAAATCTCAAGACTACTGTTGCCTAAGCAAGATAAACATGCTAACATGGCTGAGGGAATCTCACAGGCCCTAACTCTAGGTGAAGAGCAATAGACAATGGATGGCTGCTGAGAGATAGAGAATTGGTTTTCTACAAGAAAGAACCTGAGTTATCTAATTCCGAGTGGTCTGCACTAAACACATGTACACAAGAGGAACACAAAACGGACCCAGCAGGTTTCAGTGTGTGTGTGTGTATGTGTGTGTGTGTGTGTGTGTGTGTGTGTGTGTGTGTGTATGAGTGTGTCTGTGTGTGTCTCTGTGTCTGTATGAGTGTTTCTGTGTGTTTGTGTGTGTCTCTGTGTCTGTATGAGTATGTCTGTGTGTCTGTCTGTGTGTCTGTGTCATGATACAAAGGGCAGATTTGTAGATGTATAAGGGACAGAGGTAAACAAGCAAGACTTTGTAACTGAAAGGAAGATGACTAGACATGAATATCTAGAAAGGACAGTGGAAAAGTCTGAAAAAATAAAAAAGAATATCTAGAGGACCATTCTCAGGAGATCCTGGATTGTATAAACAGAGAAATGGAACTAAGCATCAGTGTTTATTCACTGATTTCTTCTGACCACAGATGTCATGTGACCAGCTGCAGCAGCCTTGACTTCCCCACACAAAGGACTGTGACTTGCACTGAGAGCTAAAATACACCCTTCCTTGAGTTGCTTTCGTCAGTACTTTTAAGCCGAAAACCAAGACAGTCCCTAAAACAGGAGCAAATTGTCTTCCTGCCCTTTAGAAAGAGAAGAATACACATGAAAATAGAATAGTCCTGTGCCCAAGCTGACTATAAATAATCAGTTTAGAATTTGCCACGTTGAAAAATAGGGAAAGAACTGTGCCTGTGACACTCAGTTAGACCTACAGCACCTTCAGTTCTTTTCTCTTGTTTTTCATCCCCAAATGAACACTAGCACTTCCTGGTTCCACTAACATATTGCAGCTGATGTGCTGATCTGAGGCATCGCTGTGCCTGGCTATGGATTACCCTATCCCCTGGTGTCACTGATTCTGGGCTGAGCTCATACCAAGGGGGCAGACTATGTCATGGGCCTGTAGCTAGCTCAGAGGGAAGCTTCCTAGCTCTGAACTCTTTTTCAACAGCTCAGCCCAAGTTACCACCTATTAAAGTGGCACCCAGAGAACCCAGGGGAATTCTGGAGCCATTCTCCCCAGGTTTAGCTGACTTGAATGGAGAAGGAGGTCAAAGGTCATTCCTCCTCAAAATATCAGACATAGAGATCACCTCTGCTACTTGATAGCTCGAGGCTTTCTCGTGTTTTCCTTGCTGGAAACATCACAAAAGCATACCTTTGAGGGTTACACTAAGAATGTAAACATCTACTTTTAAATTTAAGCATGCATCTTGGAGTGAAACTGGTGCTTCATTTGTTGACATCCTGTAAGCCAATTAAAATAAAAGGTATATTTATTATCACGACATTAAAGTGTCATAAATTAATGATGGTGAAACACATTTTAAACAAAGCAATTATTAAGATGTCTCATCATAAAATAAGGAAGGAATTTGATTGACAGTGAATTCAAATATTAGGGAAAACAGGTTGGCTAGGTGACTTTAGCAAGCTTATCATATTCCTTGTGAACTAACAAGTGTTCTGAATTGTTAAATAAACCCACAAGCACAGTAAAAATAAATGCCAGGTTATACTGTGAACCTAACTTTGTAGATTTCCTTGGTGTTGTAGCATTGTAGCCTTAAGTGTATCAACTTTGTAACTTGTGTTCAACTTGTAACTATATAATTTAAAGGTTATTGAAGATCTACACCTTGGTCCTTCTCCAGCCTCACTAGTGAGCGTGGATTCTGTAAAACAAGTAGATAGCACAGTGACTGTAGAGCAACCCCCACAAATGACAGAGTGGCAGAATTTGTTCCTCCAGTGTGATAATACAGAATTTTTATTTTAAATAGCAAATCTGAAGTAATAAAATTCAGTCTGAAAAAAAATGGCTCAATTGGTAATGCACCTGCTGAGCAAACAAAAGGGTCTGGGTTTTAGCTCCAGCATCCGTGGAAGACATGTAGATCCTTGGACCCCAGCATCCACAGGAGGCATGTAGATCCGTGTGCTCACAGATAAGTGCTAGGGAAACCAAGAATGTTAAGCACACAGGGTTGTCTCTTCAAACTGAGAGATGTATAGCCTGTGTTCTACCCAGAAGGCTGGGAAAGGATGTGATGGATGGCCAGGCTGCACTGGGTCCTTCTGACCTTTACTTTGAGTCTGTTTATCTCAACCAACCTACAGAATTATTCTCCCCTAGACCCTAACCATGAGCATTATTTTTCTTGAGCCTACTTCCTTAATTGATCTATAGAACCTATCTTTATGGAAGATGTCACTTGTACTTTACAAGAAGTTCCATGTAATCATGTCTTAAGCACACAGGGTTGTGCTGTACCAGGAAACTTTTCCCAAGTTGTGCTGTGCTTAAATGTGACTAAAATAAAATATCCAGTTTCATACTCAAAGTTTGAACAAGATCGGTTACTGAGTTGTGTTGAACTGAATTTCCTTCTTGCCTTGCCAGGGTAGACACTCTGATGACCACAGTGTCTGCAGACACTCTGCTCCACTCCACCTCACACACACAGCAGCAGATGCCTATGATCCCAGCACTGGGAAGGAAGAGACAGGAGGATCTCTGGATTGCAAACCAGACAGTGTAGCCATACTGGTGAGTTCCAGTTTCAGTGAGAAACCTTTTCTCAGAAATGAAAAGAAGGAAGGAAGGGAAGAAAGAAAAGAAAAAAGGAGAGCAGCTGAAGAAGATACCCTGTGGCCTGCACACATACATGAACATACAAATTATAATAGCAATTCAAACTTGTTTTTCTATCCTAAAATTTCATTCAATAATAACAATTGCTATCTTTTGTCTTCTGTGCATATTAACCTTTTTGAAGATATTTGGTCGTTTTATGTTGGTCCAACCTGTGTGTATGATAAACTCATTGCTTCAGTCCATGTCCTTATATTGTCTGTCCTCACAGTCCTAACTCTTTCATTCAACATTCTGAATTCTAGCTTTCCAAAGCTACAAATTCAGTTTTCTATATCATCAAGTCAAAACCTCACTACATGGTCCACAATTAAAATAAACAATCAAGCTGGAGAAAACAACCTTACAAGAAACAATGGCCCTAGTGTATTCCTTTATTGCTTTCTCTGGACTTCCATCAACATTGCCTTCAATTCCTTTCCCACCTTTTTCAGACTATAATTTAACTGCAACATGGGCTAGTTGTTAAAATCTATTTAGATAAGGACATTTTTAGAGTCATCCCCCAGACCTTTACCACATCCTTCTCTTCATCTGATTTCTTTCCGTTAAGTGGGACCCTCCCCTCTGAGATGCCTTAAATATGTAAGCCATAAACTATTATCTTACCTTCATGCTTGGGAAGCACTCAGGGCAGACAAGAACAAGAAAATTTCATCTGTAAAGACAGATAGGCTTTTGTCTCCCCCACAGCCTCTCCTGCTCTGGACTCTTTTTCTACTCATTTATATAGCCAGCAGTCCTGAGACTCGGCTGGATCCACTACCCCAGCTGGATTCTCCAGGGACATAGAACGCCTGCCTCTGTACTTGATCTGTGCCTTGAAGCCAGATGCATTTTGTCAGTTACACAGACTCTTGCTGCAGCCAGCTGGGACTGTTTGGAAGTTACTGATATGTTTCTGGGAAATGTATCTGCTAATCGGGAAAGACAGTCAATGTCCTCAAGTTCAGCATTGAATTGATTTCCAACCAAAGGAAATTCTGCAAAGCAAGGGCTAGACCTCTTCACTGTTTTAATCTACTAAACTGAGCACATGTTTTCCTGAATCTCTTAAAGGGTGTTATAAAGCAGATTCTGAGATTGTTTTGTTAAAGAAGAGTTTGCCCATTTTCTGTTTTTGTAACAAAATACTTGAGACTCGAACCTTTAAAATACAAGTGTTTTTGGCTTGTAGTTCTAGGAAGTCCAAAAACATGGTGCTGGTGCCCATGTAACATCTGGTAAGAGCCTGTCTTTGTGCATCATGACACGAAACCTCGTCATGTCACAGCATAACACATGATGACTCACAACCATCTATAACTCCAGTTCAAGGAAACCCAATGCCTTCTTCTGACCTTTGAGAGCACCAGGCATGCACATAATAACTGCATGGTGAAACCTCGTCAGGTGGTAGCACCAGTCTCTCTTCCATGTCATATAAAACCACTAATGCTAAAAATAGGAGCCCCATTCTCATGACCTCATCTAATCTCTAGAGGCCCTGCCTCCAGACACTGTTAATGGATGCTGGGTACTAAATTTTTCAACACAGGAGTTTGGGATGATCTTGATGTAGTTCTGTCTGTAAAAAGTAAATGGAATGTTCTAGAATGTAACATTTTCTGGAAACAAAATAGAGCATAACAGTGCTACATTCATCTTTTTGTCTTTAGCTTCCACAAATTAATCTCAGAAAGTATTTGGGTGCCATAGCTTGCATGTAGAAATCGATGATAAGAAGTCCGTTCTCTTCTTCCACCTGTGCGATCTAAGACTTGAACTCAGGGTTTCAGGCCTGTTAACAAGCACCTTCACCCATTGATGGCCAGTTTTCAGTTATCTTTTTTTCTTTTAAGGAGTTGTTTTATTTCATATGCACGAGTGTTTGCATGTATGAATAGTTATCACGTGCATGCCTGGTGCCCTCAAAGGTCAGAAGAAGGCATTGGGTTTCCTTGAACTGGAGTTATAGATGGTTGTAAGTCATCATGTGTTATGCTGTGAACTGAACCCAGATCCTTTCAAGAGCAACAAGTGCTCTTAACTGCTGAGCCATTTCTCCAGCCCTGATCCACCTTTTGAAAAGAAGCAGACTTATAAAATATGTCTCCACAATCTCCACAGTGATGTAGAACTCACTGCTCCCTTTGTAATTGTCCTGGAGGGACACATAAATCTACTTAGGCTCTGAAAGCATCTGAGACAGAAGAGAAGAAAAGGGAAATGTTACACCTTTCTGAATTAGGATCCATAAACGCAGATAGACTTAATAGAACCACACAACAGCACTTTAGCAGCTGCACAGAGGATAGAATTCTGGGAAGGAAAAGTATATTATCTCATTGAAGGGATAAATATTCTTCCCATCGCTTTCACCTGGTGTTAGGTGAATCTGCCTTCCAAAGGCAAGATTGATCAATCCAACTGGAATGTTAGGTGTCCACCCAGGTCACAGAGTCCATTCTCTTGACCATAAGGAAACAGTTTCCCCTTAATGGACCTTTAATGCGACTATAAGAGTATCTCATGAGTGTTTATCTGTTTGGAATTCCAACAGGAAAACCATTAGGACAAGGGCTTTAAATATAGATGGGGTCTGCACTGTTGGCAGTTTGGCTGCAAGCATAAGCTGTGTGGTCAGTGGAAACTCGTGCACGGAAAGGTTTTCGGAAGAACAGAAAATGTGAGTCAAGATGAGTCAAGTGGTGGTGATGTGTACATGCAGAGGAAGGAATTAGAAGCATAACTTCGAAGTTTTCAGTAAAAAAAAAAAGACACTAAAAGCCTCATTTAAAGAGATAGACAAAAAGTCTAGAAAGATTCTCAGGACTTAGTTATTAAACAGGATTTCAAGTCTTACTCTGAGAAGTGCAAAAATTTAACAAGATAAATGTGGAAGGGAGATTCAAAGTGGAAGAGATGATTTTTGAAAAGGGACATTTGTGGTCTGGAAGAGCATCCAGCATATTCCTGCAAGTGGGAGTAGGGTGTCTTCAGGAAACCAAGGTCACCCATTATGTAAGTGGAGCTACTAGTGTGAAAAAACACAGCTGGAGTCATAGCATCTTCTGGTAGCTGATCGTAATGAGGCATAAACCACAAGAAACATTCCATCCCATATGGGGAGCAAGAAATAAAAAAAAAATAAATAAAAAATTAAAAAAAAAACGGAGCAAGAAAGAGAGATTGTGGAAATAAGTAACCGAGGGATGCAATGTGATCAAGCCAGTACCAGTAACTTCGAGGAGAAGAAGCCAATGGGTAATGAGAACTGCCAGCCAGAGAGAAGGGTTGCTAAGGGAACGCACCAAGCCGACCACACAACACACTGGTCGGTAAACTTAGGTTAGCATTTTCCAGGGTTTTTTTTTTTTTTTTTTTTTTTTTTTTGCCTCAAAATGTATATAAATGCAACCTCCTCCAAAAAAAAAAAAAAAAAAAAAAAAAAGAACCTTAATATGTGACTAAATAAGACTGTAAGTGTATAAAATAGAGTTGGGTTAGGAAGCTTCCAAGATCCTGACTTCAGGGGCCTGGTGATATGCTGCTTCCATCTCTGCGGAAGAAACACCCTCAGGTGGAATGGAGATGTCCTGCGGCAGCCTTGGCCTGTAGGGGACGCCAGCAGGTCCTGCCCTGGTGGTGACGGTCGAAAATGTCTCCTGGGGCAAAACGCCCATCACTTCCTTTGAGTGAGAATTACGACTACACTGTATTCCCAGGAAACACCCAGGTTCGCATCCACGGTGCACAGTGCAGTATGCGTTCTGAAAGTCTTGCAGAAAGTAATACTTTGAACGTCTTTAACCCAGAACTTCCCAAGTTCATTAGACATCCCCCATATTCCTGTTTCTAACAAGATTAGTGTGTGAGCATTTTTGGTAATTAGCATCTGAACCAAAAAGAATCCATAAAAGGGGAAAGCAGGTTTCCCCTTTTTCCTGCTTTTACCAGCAAGAGTGCATGCCCTCCTCAACTCTGTGACCCTGGGATCTGACAAGACCCACTACTTCTGAGGAAACTTTCATGCTACTCATGATATCAGGACATAGTTTGTTCCACCACATGTACCTACATGGACCACGGAGGGGGAGGGGGTGTTTGAAAAAAAATAGTTTGGCATGCCTATTTAAGTTGCTGGACATATTACTGAATTTGGAACAAATCTGGGACAATTCAATTCCAATAGATTCAACTGCTTCTTGTGTAGTTGAGAAGAGTAAACTTAACTTGGGAAGAGTAAACACCTGCTTTTTCTCCTTTGCAATGAAACTGATCAGTCAGAATTGAGCTCGCCAGGAATTGGAACAAAGAAGCAATAGCACCCTCTAGTGGCGTGAGACTCCAGGCCCTGCAGTAAACAACCGCATCTGGCTCTGGAGTTGAACCACTCAGGAGCCAGCTAATCTTCCTAAACTCCCGGGCAGGAGCTTGTTAAGCTAATAAGTACTCCGGGTGGTATCTTTCCCTAGTAAAGTGCCACTGCGTGAATAGTTTGAGAATGAAAAATGAAAAATGGCTGCCAGGCGAGGCTTTATATAAAGGAAGTTTTCGGCAAAAAGATGGTTGTTAAAGCGCTTTCTCGTCGCACCTATTAAGGTGCTGAGCATCTTTGCTGGTAGCACTGCACTAAACACAGATCCCTGCGCTAAATGAGCTCTTAGCATCCTGTTTTTCATGAGGACGCTGTTTAGAGTTTAGATGTTTGAAAAATATTTACAGGGCTTTTCACTTCCCTCTAGGCAGAAGTCCACACTGGACAAACCTTTGCCCCGGCTGCCCCAATGACTGCAGATGGCAAAGGGCAGATTATAATCGGGATGTAATAAGATGTTTCCTCACTATTGTCTCAAATAGTGCCTGGCGCTTATTAAATTTAGGAGGGCCTGGATTTGTTTGGGTTTCTGACTGCTGTTTGCAATTTGTTTGTTGGTGTTGTTATCTGCAGTGCACATTGCGCCAGTTGCTCCCAAGTCCAAGATACATTTCTTTGGGTTTAAATTTGAATCAAGTTAAACAGTTCTGAGAAGGATGATGCAAACTGTGAAGATGTCTGAAGTTCTGGGAGGACACTATATAAAGTCATGCAGAGGCCACATGCCAGAGGACAAGTTCCTTTCTTTTATGTATACTTAAAATTTATGGTGCCTCAACCCCAGAGAAACTATGTAACAAAGAGGACCCTAAAAGAGACACAGAAAAAGACAAGATCACCTGAATAAATTGGGAGCATGGGGGTACTGGCTGAGGGTGGAAGGGGAGAGGGGAGGAGAGAAGGAAAGTGGGGTAAAATGTATAGCTCAATTTAAAAAGAAAAAGAAAAGAAAAAATATGGTACCTAAGAAAAGGAGTGGGAAAAAGTTCAGCCTGCAAAATTCTTTTTTAAAAAAATCAATTACTTCCAGAAAAGTACAAGTGCTGTGGAATAGAATAACTGTTTAACTATGTAAAGATGGGCTTCCGTTTTACCTTGCATGCCTAAGACACCTGACTGGTCTAATAAAAGCTTAACGTCCAATAGCTAGGCAGAGGAAGGATAGGTGGGTGGGGCTGGCAGGTAGAGAAAAAAGTGGGGGCCAGCCAGCTATGGAGGAAGCAGAAAAGTGAGATGAACAGATGAGGTAAAGAGTCTCAGGGCAGCACATAGATTAATAGAAATGGGTTAATGGGGGGGGTGTTCAAGAAGGGTTTCTCTGTGTAGCTTTGGAGACTTTCCTTGCACTATCTCTGTAGAACAGGCTAGCCTCTCCCTCCCAAGTGCTGGAATTAAAGGCATGCACCACCGTCACCTGTCAGAAATTAGTAAATTTACATTTTAAAGAGCTAGCTAGAAAAAAGTCTAAGCTAAGGCCAATCATTCATAATTATTAATAAGTCTCCATGTCATGATTTGGGGGCTGGTGATCGAAGAAAGCCTACTACAGACAAGCTGTCTCATAATTTAAATTCTATCTCTACAAACTATTTAATCCTTAATATATGTATTCTCCATCATCATCATCATCTATTCATTGGGCCAGAAAAGAAGAAAAAAATGAAGGTAATATAGATGTGAAATCCTCAATTATGACACCTCTTTTAAGTTCATTTATTTATTTTGTGTGTATGAATATTTTACCTACATGTACATCTTGTGCACCATGAATGTGCCTGG